TATTACGAACTTTCCACGACCGGCCTTTACCCGACAATTAAATAGGGTAAAACCGGTATATTAAATGCAGTAAGACTACGGTAAATTCAATATGATAAACTTGCATTCTTTAAGCATGGGCTGCATAGTAAGTGAACTAAACTAAATGTTAAGCATCCTGGCAAACCGCTTTGTCCGGCTAGAATTTTTAGATTAAAGGAACACCCTCCCTGGTAACGGCTGAACTAGTTAACCAAATACAAATATTTAGGTAAAATACCTTCATAAAACCCGTCTACTTCCCCCACCAGTAGACTTTTTCAGCTAAAGGCATAATGTAATGTTCCACTTTAGTAAATAAAGACTTAAAAAAACACTACCCCATCTGTGTAGTTACCGGTTACCTGACATTCTACGCTTAAAATAACCCATCTATTCCCCATAATTGTTCGCTATAACTTACCTCTCACCCGCTGGTCGAGTACACAGCAGTATATATCCTCCTCCATCACTCACCGCGTGGATACTATTTCACTCTGGCCGCAAATTGCCTCAAATCACCTACGTTGTCCATAAACATATATAGAAGAGCAACTGACCGTAGCAACCGTATAGCGATCATCACATAACGTGGGAACATTAGTAGTACTGCTGTCAAAACATAGATGGCGCCAGGACAAACGGTAATTCCTATGGACTCGCCTAGTTATGCGTAGGGAATTGAGCTTCAGCTGTTTGGTCCCGCCCCTCAGCTGTATTCACCTAGTTGTACTCACCTAATTTGTGCTTGCAGGGGTTGAGCTTTGGTTCTTTGGTCCCGACTCTCAACCGTCAATCAACAGGTGTACAGGTTCCTGAGCCTATTGGGCTCTATCACATCTACATTTGAAATTGTGTATGGAGTCAGCCTCCACATCACTGCTTAATACATTCCATTTGTTAACTACTTTGACACTGAAAAAATTCTTTCTAATATCTCTGTGGCTCATTTGGGTACTAAGTTCCCCTTGTTCGTGTTCCACCCGTGTTAAAGAGCTGTCTTTGTAACTATCAAAATGCATATATCTTTGCTTTCACTTCAGTTATATTTATGACAAGGGATTTAAAATTTGCCTATATTTCTGCTTCTCTGATGACATTAAAAACTTTCGTTTATTACAGTATCTACATAAAATTAACATTTATCTTCATTAGGTTGTAGTTCTCATCAATAGGGAGAGCGTCGGTAAAAAAAAAAAAATTTGTTTAAATATAAATATCTTTCCTCTCTTAATGATATGCCCGAAACGCTATGCGTACTAGTGGCTTTAGGTATTGTATGTACTAGCTCTATCTATAAATCCAATATTATGTTTGTAAATCGACTATTTATGTACTTTCCTGAATAAAATGAACTTTACTTTACTAATATCTAATCTCTGTGACTAAAACGTAATGTAACGGTTCTATTGTTACGTAAAGTATGGTGATAATAAACACAGACACTAAGATACTATATATATATTTGGTCGAATATACAGAAGTACACAGGTGATACTTTGGTGTGAGTTGAGCGCACTGAGCGTCGGTACAGTATCTCGCAAGTGTCTGCTCTAGACCACACTTGAAAGTAGACTCTGGTTAATGTTTGATTGATTGATTGATAAAGATTAAGCCACCCAAAAGGTGGCACGGGCATGAATAGCCCGTAAGTGGTGGCCCTTTTGAGCCATTACCAGTATCAAGAGCTGATACTGGAGATCTGTGGAGGAGCGACTGCACCCTGCGTGACGGGAGATGCCTCCGACGTTAATGTTTGATTGATTGATGAAGATTAAGCCACCCAAAAGGTGGCACGGGCATGAATAGCCCGTAAGTGGTTTTAAGCCATTCCCAGTATCAAGAGCTGATTCTGGAGATCTGTGGAGGTGCGAATGCACCCTGCATGATGGGAGATGTCTCCCTTGTGAATGTGTTAAGATGAAGATGAAGCCACCCAAAAGGTGGCACGGGCATGAATAGCTAGTAAGTGGTGGCCCTTTTGAGCCATCACCAGTATCAATAGATGATACTGGAGATCTGTGGAGGTGCGACTGCACCCTGCGTGACGGGAGATGTCTCTGTGTGTGACAATTTACAGATTGATTGATTGATAAAGATTAAGCCACCCAAGAGGTGGCACGGGCATGAATAGCCCGTAAGTGGTACAATTTTTTTTTTTTTTTTTCGCAGTGTTCTGAGGTTGCATTTCATCATCAAGCTGTTATCGTGGGGGAGGATACTGCTTCACAGTCTTTCCAAGTTTGGACCGAGCAGGAGCGCTGATGTAAATTGTCTACCTACACTTTACCTGCGAAACTACTCTTCGTTGGGTATTGAATTACTCACGCCACCCAGAATACTTTACTGAGCAACCAAGTCTACTTTTGTCCTGAACATTATCAAAACACAAAAGTAAACTGATCATGTATATATACCGAGAAGTATATACTACACTTCTCAGTGCATATATACCTTAATGAACTACTGTTTTAAGCAACCAGCCAACTGGACGACGCCACCATCCCTCCCTCCCTCCTGCTAGATGGAAGGGGGGAGGGGGGGAAGGAAGAGGCAGAAATCCCCGCACCTGGATTAAGCAATTAATCCAGGTGCGGGATTATTATTATTATTAAGTATTATTAGTATTAAGGAATTTCAATCCCTGAGAGATGGCTTGTTGACAAGTGTTTTAAATCCAATCTATATAAAATGTGCCGTGTTGCAAGTTATATTAATCCGTCTTACAGAAGCTATGCCCGTTTCTTTATGCAATACATAAAACAATAAATAAGCTATGCAATAAATATAGTTATTGAGCTCTCACACTTTATTCATCATGATATTTTGTTCCTGGTTTTAATTAAGTAATTTTTTGTATTCATGTCTTCTATAATATATTAGTTTATAATAGACAACAGGTGTAATAATATTCTTCAGAAAATATATAACCTTTATTGGGCGTAAATTATTTCATCTCCTAAATGACACAGTACATAGAAGAAAACACACGCGAGCACACGCGCGCGTACACACACACACACACACACACACACACACACACACACACACACACACACACACACACACACACACACCGTTAAAAACATGATACAAAACAATTATAGTTTATGAATACACCTTAGGACACTTAAGTTAATTTAATTATAAAACATCACATCAGAAATTGTTACATACACATCATCATTCCTTATGTACAAGATTTAAGTATACTTGCATATTTAGTATACCCATTACGATATCCATACATATACCATCATACATAGATCTTAAGGGGAAACAAATATGATTAAAAACTTTTGTTTCCGTTCGAAATGGGCGCGACCTGTTAACAGAATCCAGTTGCACTGTTAACGGAGCTGTCTTGTTGACGAAGTGAGCTCGAGTTATACTAATAAAAAGAGATATTTCTCCAGTGGGGAGTGAGAACTAGAACAAGAAGAACAATTTCGAGTCAGTAGAACGTTCACAAACCACGTGATTAATAGACCCGCAGCTCGTTCTTAGAGTAAATTCATTAAAACGAGACACCTAACTCTCCACCCCCCCCACCTCTGAAACCACCTGGATCTAGCTATTATCGTTCTTCAGGTGCCAATCATCTGCAACAATCCCAATCATCTGTAACAATCCCAATCATCTGCAACAATCCCAATCATCTTCAACAACCCCAATCATCTTCAGTAATTATTCACAATAAAAAATGTAAATAGTTATGAATTTTTCATAATTATTCATATAATTGTATTCAAGTTTATACAATGATTAATAATTTCATAGTGTTAAGTCCTCTAGAACTCCGCTGAGACTGGTGGGTAGAGCGACGGTCTCGCTTCCTGCAGAGTCGGAGTTCGATCCCCCATGATAGTCAAAGTGATTGGGCACCGTTCCTTCACTCCGTTCTCATATATCCATGGTTCCTTCCAAGTCCTATATAGTCATACTGACTTAGTGCCGTAATAACTGCCATCTTTATGTGTTAATTGTTTTATTTTCATTATTTTGTAATCTTCTGAGATTTTAACGAGATGCAAGGAGGAGGAGGAGGGAGAGAGAGAGAGAGAGAGAGAGAGAGAGAGAGAGAGAGAGAGAGAGAGAGAGAGAGAGAGAGAGAGAGAGAGAGAGAGAGAGAGAGAGAGAGAGAGAGAGAGAGAGAGAGAGAATTTATGTTAATAATTAACGTGTTTGGCACGAGTGAGTTCCCCCCCCCCCCCTAGCCCGTTATCGACTCAATATCTGCATACAGGTGTGCTGGCTCACTTACATACAGGTGTGCTGGCTCACTTACATACAGGTGTGCTGGCTCACTTACAAACACACAATAAAAAAAATAAAACTACAAATTTCCAACACATTTCAAAGAACAAAAAAGGAAGAAGTAATATGGTGCAGAATAGTCGAGGTGAACAACAAGGTACCAGGAGCTCAACACAACAAGGTACCAGGAGCTCAACACAACAAGGTACCGGGAGCTCAACACAACAAGGTACCAGGAGCTCAACACAACAAGGTACCAGGAGCTCAACACAACAAGGTACCGGGAGCTCAACACAACAAGGTACCAGGAGCTCAACACAACAAGGTACCAGGAGCTCAACACAACAAGGTACCAGGAGCTCAACACAACAAGGTACCAGGAGCTCAACACAACAAGGTACCAGGAGCTCAACACAACAAGGTACCGGGAGCTCAACACAACAAGGTACCAGGAGCTCAACACAACAAGGTACCAGGAGCTCAACACAACAAGGTACCGGGAGCTCAACACAAAGCATTGTATACCATATTCCACTACACCACGGAGCAGTCTCCGTGGTGTAGTGGTAAGACACTCGCCTGGCGTTCCGCGAGCGCTATGTCATGGGTTCGTATCCTGGCCGGGGAGGATTTACTGGGCGCAATTCCTTAACTGTAGCCTCTGTTTAACGCAACAGTAAAATGTGTACTTGGATGAAAAAACTATTCTTCGCGGCAGGGGATCGTATTCCAGGGACCATAGGATTAAGGACTTGCCCGAAACGCTACGCGTACTAGTGGCTGTACAAGAATGTAACAACTCTTGTATATATCTCAAAAAATATTAGCACGCTTCTTGGAACACCTTACAGGAGCGACCGGGGGACGGGGGTCAACAATCAGCTCCTGGTCAGCAGTTAGCTCCTGGTCAATAATCAGGTAGCACTAGGCAAGGTCACCAAGCCTGTGTAAATTGTAAACACACCAAAAAAGTGATATAGTTTAAGTCTTTGGTCAACACATCAAGTCAATCATCACAAATGTTCTTGAGTGGATCGATGTGTCACTGTTAAGGTGGACTTCGAACACAGAATACGTGCTTCCAGTATCAGTTCTTCCAATCTAAAAATCTAATTTATTTTATACAACATTTAATAACTCACTAAATGTAACATGTATCACCTAACAGGACTGTTAAAATATGAGTTTTTTTTCTTTTAAATGCTTATGTAATGCGTTTTGATTGAGCACCTTTCTTGACACAATGGAACGTTTATCACCACACAGGACTCTTCACACCCTTACGTGAGCGTTTGGCCGTGATTTGTAATGTCAGCATTCACAGGAAGGTCTCAGGGGGAAGTGGGTCAGCAGGTGCACATCAACGTCCTTCACGACAGCTCCTTGAAGCAGCAGCTCAGTGCCCTCAAGTTCCTGGCGTCAGTGTCCGAAGGTTCCTGGCGTCAGTGCCTCCAGGTTCCTGACGTCAGTGTCCGAAGGTTCCTGACGTCAGTGCCTCCAGGTTCCTGGCGTCAGTGTCCGAAGGTTCCTGGCGTCAGTGTCTCCAGGTTCCTGGCGTCAGTGTCCGAAGGTTCCTGGCGTCAGTGTCCGAAGGTTCCTGGCGTCAGTGTCCGAAGGTTCCTGGCGTCAGTGTCCGAAGGTTCCTGACGTCAGTGTCTCCAGGTTCCTGGCGTCAGTGTCCGAAGGTTCCTGGCGTCAGTGTCCGAAGGTTCCTGACGTCAGTGTCTCCAGGTTCCTGGCGTCAGTGTCCGAAGGTTCCTGACGTCAGTGTCCGAAGGTTCCTGGCGTCAGTGTCCGAAGGTTCCTGGCGTCAGTGTCCGAAGGTTCCTGACGTCAGTGTCCGAAGGTTCCTGGCGTCAGTGTCCGAAGGTTCCTGGCGTCAGTGTCCGAAGGTTCCTGGCGTCAGTGTCCGAAGGTTCCTGACGTCAGTGCCCTCAAGTTCCTGGCGTCAGTGCCTCCAGGTTCCTGGCGTCAGTGTCTCCAGGTTCCTGGCGTCAGTGCCTCCAGGTTCCTGGCGTCAGTGCCCTCAAGTTCCTGGCGTCAGTGCCTCCAGGTTCCTGACGTCAGTGCCCTCAAGTTCCTGGCGTCAGTGCCTCCAGGTTCCTGGCGTCAGTGCCTCCAGGTTCCTGGCGTCAGTGCCTCCAGGTTCCTGGCGTCAGTGCCTCCAGGTTCCTGGCGTCAGTGCCTGCAGGTTCCTGGCGTCAGTGCCTCCAGGTTCCTGGCGTCAGTGCCTCCAGGTTCCTGGCGTCAGTGCCTCCAGGTTCTTGGCGTCAGTGCCTCCAGGTTCCTGGCGTCAGTGCCTCCAGGTTCCTGGCGTCAGTGCCTCCAGGTTCCTGGCGTCAGTGCCTCCAGGTTCCTGGCGTCAGTGCCTCCAGGTTCCTGGCAGGACTACAAATAAAAATATACCGTACAGTCTCATTTCTCGTCAACAACTCCAGCCTAGGGAAAAAAGAGCTTGCGTAAACCCGCCTCCATGAACGTCGGTGTAAGGTTTACCGACGGGTCGTCAGGTTTACCGACTGGACGTCAGGTTTACCGACCGCTCGTCAAGTTGGTTGATAGTTGCGGTGTTACTGACATCAGAATACCTGCAGAAGAAATAAAGGCAGTTAACCTCCTTTCATATGACACGTGTTTACTCTGCTCGGGTTCACTTTTTCACTGGGTTCATCTTGTCGACCCAAATTCTGTAATTGCACACAGTTGTTTATATAACAGGCACGCATCGCGTGATCGCCTGCTGACTACGGTGACACGAATCATAGGACTTCGTGGCTTCCTTTGCAGTTCATGCGTGCCGTCTCTCTCTCTCTCTCTCTCTCTCAAGCATGTACACATACAGGACCCTTTCCTCCGTTTTATGGGCTGTGGAAAAGAAGTTCCTGTAAAATAGTCTAATAGGGGGTATAGGTGTTGTGTTAGTTGTCTCTTCAGAGGTTGCTCAAGTGAAAGAAACACGCTCAAGTGTCGCGTCAGACTAGAAATAAAAATGAATTTTGGAGAATTGATCTTTGAATTACCATCAACAGTGAAAAGAAACGTAAGAAAGATCGAGAAAATTCGTGTTAGAATTATTAATCTTACTTTTTCGGTCATATTTAATAATATATGTCTACAGGAAAGACTGTTTCTGTCCCGGGAGTGTAGACCCACAACCCCGCCATGCTTCTCTGTAACCTCCGCAGCCAGTCACACCCTCACTATGAGGTGTTCACACCCTCACTATGAGGTGTTCACACCCTCACTATGAGGTGTTCACACCCTCACTATGAGGTGTTCACACCCTCACTATGAGGTGTTCACACCCTCACTATGAGGTGTTCACACCCTCACTTTGAGGTGTTCACACCCTCACTATGAGGTGTTCACACCCTCACTATGAGGTGTTCACACCCTCACTATGAGGTGTTCACACCCTCACTATGAGGTGTTCACACCCTCACTTTGAGGTGTTCACACCCTCACTATGAGGTGTTCACACCCTCACTATGAGGTGTTCACACCCTCACTATGAGGTGTTCACACCCTCACTATGAGGTGTTCACACCCTCACTATGAGGTGAACAATAAATGAACTTAACTACAAAATGGTAAAGTTCAACAAATTACCATGATCATCACCACCTGTCTTCACTAGATACCGTCTAAATAATCGTCATAAACGGATGCTATGCATATACCGCTCAAGCGACTGATTGATTGATTAAGATTAAGCCACCCAAGAGGTGGCAGGGGCATGAATAGCCCGTCAAGCGACTCTCTTTAGGGGCCAAATATAGCCTATATGATGAGGGGTTACCTCATCTACCCCCCCACTCACTATATGTGGTAGGGCAGTCGCCTCTTCCTATCCAGCCGGGGTTCGTATCCAGGAAGCAAGCCTCCTCGTTTTGTTATCAGTTTATATTGTATTTTTGTTATACGAGGCCCTTGCTGGGGTGGTTCTTCTCCGGCCCCGACCACGCCGGTCTCCGGGTCCCTGTGTCTTCTTTTACCAACTTCGAGGTCAACTCCGGAGCTGGAGCCCCCCAGGACAGTTCGTTGTTGCCTTCAACCTCGTTCTGACAGTTCTTGCGACGGCGCTGGAACCAATTGTATTGGCGTTTGTCCTTCCATTGGAGACTTTTGGCGCCGTGGAGAGAGAGGGGGGAGGGACCTGCTGCATGGATGACAGCTTCTTCCCCATATCATCCTACCCTGGCTTTGTACCCTGGAGAGGCCACTCCAGACCGACAACCAGAGCGCTACTCCATAGTCTCCTGAGACTGATGGATGCCTATACTACTATATGAAAAAATTAGTAATAAAGACGACCTCTAAATGCGGTACCTGAAGAATGATGGAGGTGGATAGTTTCCCAGCCCCTGCCACCACAACCGCCCCTGCCACCACAGCCGCCGCCACGCCGCTGCCATCGCCACCATGCTCAGCCAAGCCACGCTGCCATGCTCAGCCAAGCCACGCTGCCATGCTCAGCCAAGCCACGCTGCCATGCTCAGCCAAGCCACGCTGCCATGCTCAGCCAAGCCACGCTGCCATCGCCGCCAAACGCCATACTATTGTCATCAATACTTGGCCCGTCACACCTGCCTAGTAGTAAAGAATGCACTTAGAACAAAACCCTTCCAGGCGATGAACAATAAAGACCGTGACTGTCAAACGTGTTCACCGTAAACTCCAGTTAGGGAATCGTCACAAGAACTAACACCATATTGAAGGGAACTGTAGATTTTTACCTAGGATGACAGCTGGGCCTCAGGGTCTGCTGCTGTTGTAATGGCTGCTGCTGCTGCTGCTGCTGCTGCTGTTGCTGATCTTGTAGTGGGTGTTGTTGCTGCTGCTGTTGCAGTGGATTTTGTTGATTCTGTTGCTGTTGGGGGTGCTGGTAATGCTGTTCTTGGCTGTGTTCTTGCAGCTGCTGGTAAGATTGATGCTGTGGGTGCTGGTAGTGATGCTGAGGGTGTTGGTAATGCTGGTAGTACTGTTGCTGTTGATCCTGCTGACGAAGGCGCTGCTTGAGCTGCTCCTCCTTCTGCTGCTGCTTGAGTTGGTAGGGGTGGAGTCGACGAGTCTCAGGGGAAGCGGACGTTGCGGGGGATTCTGGCGGAGAGGACGACACTTAACCATCTAACCCCCTTCCTTGAATCGAACATTACTAACATTAAGTCCACTACGGGCTCACCATAGCCCGTGCTACTTGGGACTTTTTGTTCCAAGTAGCGTATCTTAAACAACAACATACTGACATTTATAGACTGCATATTACTGTATTAACAGTCTTTACTTAAACAATATTTTGTATTGTAGACAACATGTGCAGCCACGAGGGAGAGGCACATATATATCAGTGTCAAGTGAAGTAATATGGCTGATGTAGAAGAATGATAGATCACAAGAAATATAACAAATGAGACACTACAACGAAAAAGATAGTAATTTATATATATATATATATATATATATATATATATATATATATATATATTTAATATATGTGTGTGTGTGTGTGAATTTACTATTTGTGTCTGCAGAATCGACCTATTAGTTCTTGGACCCCGCCATTCTAACCAATCTATTTTTCCTCTATTATATCTACTACATATATATCTCTCTAATACACACACACACACACACATACTAAAGACAGCTGTATTGTCACTTAAGTTAAAACCAATATTGCATATACTTGACTTGTTCATCCCGTTGTACTGAACGGGATGAAAATAGCTTGAGCCACCTCATCACTTTGAATTTATGCGTTAATAAACTTATTTACAATTTCAATTATGGTCAAATATTATTGTTATTCGAAGGATCGCAAGTATTCTATATGGACAGACTGTGTTTAGTCAGTGAGTGACGTGTGTACATGGAGGGTCACTGACAGGCTTAAAGAAGGTACTAGTTACTCGTATGACAGGGCGCATGACAGGGCGCATGACAAGGCGCATGACAGGGGCGCATGACAGGGCGCATGACTTAAGACAGCTGTATGATATACGGATAGCAGATGGAAGTAGTGCATGACAGATGATGACTGTATGACATGCTGATGACAGTTGGGAGAAATTTACGACATATGATATACACATGTCAGTGTATGATTTTCCGATGACAATTGGGAGAGTAATGCATGACATGACAGCTATATGACAAGTCGATGACAACAGGGAGAGTAGTGCATGACATGACAGCTATATGACAAGTCGATGACAACAGGGAGAGTAGTGCATGACATGACAGCTGTATGACATGCTGATGACGGTTGGGAGAGAATAACAAACCTACTGGTCCTGAGGTGTCTGGGGGGGCGGCGGTGGTGGGGGGGCGGGTGGGGGAGGCCCTCGGAGGGGGTCATCACCCCCCCGTAGTGTTCGGCCCGACAAGTCTCGTACGGCACCCCGACCCCCGAACTCCGACTCTCCACTTCGCTCTGTAAACATCAACAGCATAATCTAAACAAGCCATCAATGGACTGTTTCTTTATCAGCTGATACATCAACATTTACAAACAACGACAGCAATTCCTGGCTGCCAGTTTTGTTGTCTGAAGGACGTGGCTGCCTTTGGACGCCTCAAGCAGTGACTGGCTTCACTGCGGTCAATCCAGTCTCTGGAATCACTGTGGATGGCTGTCTCTTGGTCTTTTGCCAAGAGACTGTTGAATTCTCATCTGGCTAGAGACAACAGTCATCAGAGCTACACTTTCTGAAGCGGAAAGATCAAGTTTGAGGCCTAGGCCATCATCAACAAAATTCCAAGAAGAATCTTGAAGGGATAATGAGCTGCTGCTTCTTTGTTAAAAATGGCAAGTGTCAATGCTGATGGTGACACAAGTAAGTAAGTTATTATCAAAAGAAGGCACCAAACCGGGAAGGCTATGTAGCACCATCAAATACGCAAAATAATCAGAGGGCGCTAAATATCACCAAGAATGCCAATACGAGAACAAAAACGCATAAGGCAAACGATACCAAAAGTATCCGAGTCACCAAGAATTCTATCGAGGGACAGGTGACCGCGAGGGGCGGTCGGAAAGCAAGACACACGCTCGTCCTGGAAGTCAGGACATTCAAGAAGGACATGCACGACCGTAAGAGGGACAATGCAACTAGGACAATAAGGAGCAGGGCGGCGCTCCATCAAGTGACCATGGGTTAAGCGAGTATGGCCAATACGCAACCTCGCCAGAGCTGTTTCCCACCGCCGGTTACGGTGGAAGGAGGACGGCCACGAGGAAACACAACATTTAAGAGTACGTAGCTTGTTACCAGTAACAGACAACCAAGAAGCCTGCCAACGGGTAAGGACTGAGGAATGGATAACCGGGTAAAAGTCGGAACACGGAATGCCTTTACGAGAGATGGGACAAGAGCGGACAGCTTCCTTGGCGGCAGCATCCGCACGCTCATTTAAAGACACACCAATATGGCTGGGAACCCAACAAAACTCAACCGACTTAAATTTACTGTGAACGAGAAACAGCCAATGCTGGTTCTCGACAACTACTGGATGAACCGGATTAAAGGACCCGAGAGCCATGAGGGCACTACGAGAGTCAACAACAACTACAAAGGAAGACTGACAACGAGAAAGCAGGAGACGAAGAGCATAGAGAATAGCATAAAGTTCCGCTGTAAAGATGCTAGACTCCGGAGGCAAGCGACACATATAAGTGCGATCAGGAAAAACAACAGAGTAGCCAACACCGTCCACTGACTTAGACCCATCGGTGAAGACAGAAACGGAGCGGAAGTGAGAAGAAAAGTGCTTGAGAAAAAGGCGTTTTAGAACCGTAGGAGGGGTAAAAGCTTTAGTGACACGGGTCAAGGATGTACAAAACCGCGGAAGAGGGACCCTCCACGGGGGCAAAGAAGGAACAACACGAGGAGAAACATCAGAAATACGGACAGAAAAAGAATCCTGTAGGCGAGATAACCGGACAGAAAGAGGGAGGTGGTGAAGAGGAACAGGAACTGCAGGAGGGGTAAAAGTTAAAGCACGACAGAGGCGAGAGGAAGGATGTTGCAAGGACCGCGCAAGATAGCGAAGACAGTAGCGATCACGGCGGTCCTGGAGAGACAGGAAGCCAGTGTCAACATACAAGCTAAGGATGGGAGTCGAACGAAAGGCACCAGAATTGAGGCGCAACCCAGTATGGTGCAAAGCATCAAGACGGCGAAGAGTAGAAGGAGAAGCAGACGAGTAAGCAGGGCAACCATAATTGAGCTTAGACAGGACGAGAGAGGAATGTAAAGCAAGGAGAGTGCGCCTATCTGCCCCCCAAGAAGTATGGGACAAGATCCGAAGGAGGGTAAGGGCCTTAGAGCACTCAACACTGAGGTAAGAGATATGGGGAGACCAAGACAAACGAGTGTCAAGGAATAACCCCATAAGCTTCGCGGAATCTTTGTATTCAAGGGGATGACCATAAAGGGACAAAGAGGGACGAAGAACAACCCGTTTCCGCGTAAAAGTCATGGCACAAGTCTTAGAAGTAGAGAACTTGAAGCCATGATCTGTGGCCCAAGACGACACGGCATCAATTGCAAGTTGAAGCCGGCGGTGAAGGAGAGGCGAATCATCACCCTGACAACAAAGGGTAAGATCATCGACATAGAGAGCGGAGAAGACACCAGAAAGAAGAGAGGAAAGAAGACCATTGAGGGCAACCAGAAAAAGAGTAGTTCTCAGAACACTACCCTGGGGCACACCTTCGTATTGCTGAAAAGAGGGAGAGAGAGCGGTACCAAGGCGCACCCGAAAGGAACGACGAGAGAGGAAGCTGTGGAGAAAGAGAGGGAGATGACCACGAAGGCCAAAAGAATGAAGTTGAGATAGGATATGATAACGCCAAGTGGTGTCGTAAGCCTTTTCCAGGTCAAAAAGGACGGCAACAACGGAGGTCTTCGCAGCAAAAGCAGTACGAATATAGACCTCCAAGTTCACCAGGACATCCGTCGTGCTGCGGCACTTGCGGAAACCAAATTGAGAAGGGGAGAGGAGGTGATGGTGTTCCAGGAACCACATCAGACGAACGTTAACCATACGTTCAAAGAGTTTGCAGACACAACTTGTCAGAGCAATAGGGCGAAAGTCCTTAGGGGAAGTACCCAGAGAGCCCGGTTTGCGAACAGGGAGGACAACGGCATCGAGCCAGTCCTCAGGGACTGACGACGACTCCCAGATCCGATTATACAGACTCAGTAAATACTGAGACGTGCTCGGAGGGAGATGGCGAAGCATCTCATAATGAATACCATCGGAGCCCGCCGCCGTAGAACCGCAGAGGGCCAGGGCAGAACGAAGCTCAGAGAGAGAGAAGGGATCATTATAGGGAAGCTGAAGATGAGTGCAGAAATCTAAAGGACGAGACTCAAGGACAGGTTTACGAAGAAGGAAAGATTGGGCAAGATGAAGACCAGAGCTAACAGAAGAAAAGTGGGAACCCAGTTCGGAAGCGACCCGCAACGGGTCCGCCACAAGAGTATCATGGAGGTGAAGGACCGGTGAAACATCGGGAATGAACTTACCCGGTGAAACATCGGGAACGAACTTACCCGCTATCTTGCGGATACGCTTCCAGATCTGGGCCAGAGGGGTTTCGGACGTAATTGTTGAGACATAAGATGCCCAACATTCACGTTTAGCCGTACGGATGGCCCTACGGGCCACCGCACTCGCTTTCCGAAAGAAAAGAAAAGAATCGGTCGTCTGCCTACGGCGGTGCCTCTTCCAGGCTGCACGCTTACTGCGGACAGCCCGAGCACAGTCCGCATTCCACCAGGGAACGCACTTCCGTGAACCCCGGGAGGAAGAGCGAGGGATAGAGCAGAGGGTAGCGTTGAAGACAGTGTCATGAAAAAGGAGGAGAGCGCGAGAGAGAGGCAGAAGGGAGAGGTCAGAGAGAGTAGCACCGAGGGAAAATAGGGTCCAGTCCGCCTTAGCAAACTGCCACCTAGGGAAAGAGAGGGAAGGGCAAAAAGAGAAAAAGGAAACAAGGATGGGGAAATGATCACTTCCATGGAGGTCATCAAGAACCTGCCACGTGAAATCTAAGTAAAGAGAAGAAGAGCAGAGAGAAAGATCAAGACAAGAAAGGGTGCGAGTCCGAGAGTCCAAATGAGTGGGCTCACCAGAATTCAGAAGAGACAGGGAAGAAGAGAGGAGAAACGGCTCAAGAAGGCGACCCCGGGTATTCGTCAGAACGTCACCCCAAAGAGAATGACGATAATTGAAGTCACCCAGCAGGAGCACAGGCTACGGCAAGGAGTCTAGGAGGTGTTTCAAATCAGGAAGAGAAAGCGGGACACTCGGGGGGAGATAAATGGAACAAACAGTGTACCATTTCCCCACAAAGACACGAGCAGCAGAACAATGGAGAGGTGAAGGAAAAAGTAAAGGAACAAAGGGAACATCAACACGAATCAAAAGAGCAGAAGAATTAGAAGCCCCAGCAACAGCTGGGGGGGGGGGGAGAGAAAGGAATAGCCACGAAAACGACCAGGACGAGCACCAAGCATCGGCTCCTGGAGACAGACACAAAGGGGCGAAAACCGCGAAATCAGAAGTTGGAGTTCGAGGAAATTAGCGTAATAACCTCGAACGTTCCATTGAAGAATGGACAACGACGAGAAGAGAAAGGACAAAAACAGAGAACAAGGAAGAAACAAAGGCGAAAGAGCAACAGAGCACGTTAAAGAATATCAGGGTCGGGATCAGGGTCAGCAAAGTCAGGGTTAGGGGGCATGGGTAAACTGAGCAAAGACGGAGGGAAGGAAACGGGAGAACAGATCAGAGGTGGGCGGGCGGGGTCCGGGAGGAGGAGGAAGAAGAGGAGGAGACAACGGAGAGGAGCAGGCAAGGACAGCAGCAGGAAGAGGAGGGGTAGAAAGAGGGGAGCATACCTCAGCAAGGGCAGCAACTGAGAGGGAAGCGGGGGCTAAAGAAACCTCCATAGCAGGAACAGGGGGCGCAACCACCGAAATGGGAGGGGAAGGAGCGAGAGAGGCAGAAGTAGGGGCCGAGGAAGAAAGCGAAACCTTCTTACCCGCCGGGGAGGAGGAAGGAGAGGAGCCAGGCTTACGCTTCTGACGTGAAGAGACAGGTGTTCCAGCAACCACGTACTGGGCAACGGATTCTAGCGTCTCAACAGAAGCTGAACGAGAGCACACATGACGGCCGTTTGGAGAGCGATGGACATCAGCCCGCACCGACAGGCGGCGGGGAGAGTCAAGAGACGGAGAGGAAGGATGGGAAGGAGGAACGGAGGGAGACGAGGAAGAAGACACAGGAGACACGACAGACCGGGTAGAAGGAAGGGGAACCCCAGACAGAGGACCAGGAGGAGGATCCTTCGGGAGAGAACCCAAAGGAACAGAGGAGGGGGCAGTGGGCACATCAGGGTCCAAGGCCCGGAAACGGTTGTGAGTCTGAGGAAGGTGGGAAGGACGAGGAGAGGAAGAGCGCAACACGCGAGCATAAGAGATATGAGCATAAGGCGGGAGCCGGCGAACCTGGCGTCTCGCCTCAGGAAAAGATAAACGCTCCCGGTGCTTCAAGTTGAGGACGGCTGCCTCAAGCTTGTAATGGACACACGCACGGGAGAATGCAGGATGGGCCTCACCGCAGTTGAGGCAACGAGCCTGGGGAGAAGTGCACTCCGACTTAGAGTGACCTTCGCCATCACACAAAGGACAGAGAGAGACAGTCCCAGAGCAGCGGAGGGCACCATGCCCAAACCTCCAGCACTTGTTGCAGAGCCGAGGAGAAGGAATGTACTCCTGGACAGAGCACCTGGCACCAGCAAGAATGACAGAGGGTGGAAGGGTCCTACCATCAAAGGTAATCTTCACAACCCGGAGGGGTTGACGCCGACTACCACGAGGGGGACGAGTAAACGTGTCCACCTGGAGAATAGAATGGCCCTGGGCAGCAAGGATATGTCGAATATCGTCGTGGCAGTCGCGCAGGTCCCGGACACCGGTCGCAACATGGGGCGGGAGCAAAATAGTGCCAACACTGGCATTCAACTGAGCGTTCTTTAAGACCCGAACAGGGGTCTCGCCAAGGCAGGATAAGGCAGCCAAGCGGGAAGCAGCATCCTGAGAAGGAGCAGCAACGACACGTGTACCGAGACGAGTGGGGTTGAAAGTAATGGAGGCATCCACGGAATCAACGAGATGTCGATGGAGGGAGAAATCGTCAGGAGGTGCAGAATCAAGAGGGAGGAGATCAAAATATTTGGCCCACGAAGCAGGACCAAACAAGACTTGATAGGTAGCAGAACTGGAAGGAATCGAGCGAGGGCGGCCGTGACGAGGACGGCGGTGAGAACCCCCAGAGAGGGGGTAAAAGGCGCAGTAGTTACAACTAGAGAAGGAGCCGCGCCAGGGGACGAGGTAGTCACCACTGGGGGTTTGGGGCTCGACCCAACCACAGAGGAGGGAGGGGAGCCAGGGGAAGGAGTCAGAGAGGCCAAAGGAGGAGCAAGGTCGGGGCCCAATGCAGCGGAGGCTACAGAGCCCGGTCTTCCAATACGGACCGACTCGGGGGCTTGGTCGCCCACCCCACGAGCCTGAGAAAGTAAACCAGAAGCAGCCGAAACAGGGGTTATCATCTTGACGAAAAGAAGAATTCATCCACGAATGTGCCCCCACACCCACCATGGAGCCACAATTAGAGGCAGGACACCCAACAAGAAGCTATCGCCGATCTTGTCGGGGCCTCCTAGGGGTGCGTCGTGAGTATACGCCCCACAAACGCTACCTTAAGAAACCGACAGTACGTCGAGATCGGGTTCAGTGACGAAAGGGGGATTGACAATAAAAGGTTCCCCTCGCTCTCGACGTCGGGTACTACAGTTCTACGGGTGCAAGAGTATGCCTCCTCAAGCACCCGGGCGTCAAAATAGAAGAAGTCCAAGGGAAGAACCAGAACGAGCAAAAGGTCGGCAGGAAACGGCAAGCAGATAGGAGAAGAGGGGGGAGAAAAACGAAACAGAAGGAAAAGGAAAAGATGCCCAGCAGAATTGGAGAGGACGGCAGCAGGAGCACAAGGCTAGAATAGGACAGAGGACTGTCCCAAGGAGCATCACACTCCGACAGCCGCCCACTAAGCCCCCACACGGCGACAACGAGCTGAGCGGGGAGGGGGATAGTGACACAAGGTGACGCCCCACGTTGCCCATAGAGGTCACTGAGCGACAGTAGACGTCACCGCATCAGTCTGTGGCTTACAGTCGTCACCAGAAACATTATAAAGCTGATGATAGCCAGCACCGCCCAGTAGGACATTGTTGTCAATAATTGGCGCTGGAAAACACCTTGGCGTCCATCTCACCCCTTCACTCCCCGTGTGCCGTCGTCACTATGATAGGAGCATCAACACCTTACTTACTAGGCCAGGGAAGACTAGGTATTACATGCATAGGAGTTAGATACGCCATAGAGAAGTAGATTAGCGTATGCGAGGGAGCCTGGTAGATCATAACTTAATGAGTCAGGAGGCTGAGGGAGGCTGTGAAGCCCAAACTTACTAAGTTAGGGGAATCAACGTCATGAAGGGAAGGCGCCTGGTATACAAGGGCGGTGAAAGCCTTCTGGCCGCGAGGTTGTGGGTGGAGGGCGTGTGTGGGCGGTGAAGGCGGGGCGGGAGGTGGAGGGCTGCCCCCTCCCATCTGGAAGGTCGCTGTGGCGTAAGGGTAGAGGTCCTCCTCGCTGTACTCTCCTGCAGGAGGAACCAAGGCACATTGTTAGGGGTCAACCCAGGGAGGATATCAGGGGGTCAAGGCAACTCTAAGCAAAATATCAAAATTCCGGTCAGCCTAGGAAGCAGCCAAGTCACGCTAACGTAGGTACGATTAGAGACAAAAAGCTATCGTAGGCAGGATATCACAGACATCGTAGGGGTGAAGTTAGATTTACTTAAATTAATAAAACGATTTTAAGCCAGAAAAAGCAGTTCACATGGCAAGAAGGTAAAGCCGCAAATGGCTGTCTGAAGACAAGAAGCAGGCGTCTGTGGTTACTTAAAGTCAAGAGGGACAGGTTTTGTGTGCTTGAAGGCAAGAAGCAGCAGTTTACAAGAGGCGTGACAGCAAGACTCAGCTGCTTGTGGAAGAGAGGAGAACACGTGTAAACATCCACATAATGACGCAAGAACAGCAAGAGTACCGGTGTTGTCCCTGAGGTCCTGCTGCTGCTGCTGCTGGGGAGGCGTCGGTGCCGGCCTCCTGACGGTCGTGTACACGTCGTCCCTCGCCTGCATAGCCGACGCCTTCTCCTCGCCCGCGTCCGTCGCTGCCTCAGGAACCTCCTTCTGTGACAGTGTGCTGGCGGGACCTGGTCGTACAGCAATATATTAACACACTGCTTTTCCATTCTCTTCTTCAATACAAAATTGTCAATATATTCCAGTTTTCTCACAACTGTTATTCTTATTTTATATATCAACAAAGGTAATGATGACATACAATATGCGATTAAATAACATTACACAAAAAAATCCCATTGATGTAACAATGAGAAAATCAGTAAGAGCCACAAGGAGGATTTGAATCTATGCTCTTTGTGTTCCAGAACAAACGCCTTAGATGGTAAAAAAAATGCAACCTGGGATTCAACTGAATCATTTAAGGTTTTTGAGGCTTCCACTGAAGCCTAATGAGGGTTTAACACACTCCCCCCCCCCCACCCATGCACTCTGGGGCTTTGCAGTCTAGAAATTCTACCTTCAACGCTTCCAATGCACAAAGAAAATTGTACATATATAAATTCGTGGAATAGATTAGTGATTGAGGGAAATGTATGCACTCGATGGCGAGGGCCTCTACTCGGACCTCTTAGTAGTAACCATCAAAGATTGGTTAGTACCAAGAGATTGGTTAGTACCAAGAGATTGGTTAGTACCAAGAGATTGGTTAGTACCAAGAAATTTGTTATTACTAAACAAAAATGGGGCCAGAAGAGGATACTGACGCTTCCTGAGGCAGACGCAGACGGTGGTGAGGGTGAGGAGGAGCGCCAGACCCGACACGGCTCCCGGCACCACCACCCGCGGGTCCCGCCACACCGGACCGCTGGAGGCCTGGCTGCCCCACACGCCCCCGCCCGCGCCCGCACCCGCGCCTCCTGGGGGGGGGGGAGAGGGAGCCGTGTAAGACGCTGACTGCTGCTGGACACTCGTGCTGGCGTAACTATCAACAGTTGCGTGTTAATGGGTGTGGTGAGAGTGGGCGTACCTGTGTGGGCATAGGCGGGCGTGGTGACGGTGTACTGGGCGGGCGTGGCTCCAGCAGAGTTGTGGGCGGTGACTCTCAGCTGGTAACGGCCGCCCGCCTCCAGGCCGCCCACAGCGAAGGTTCGGCTGGGCGGCACCTCACTCCCCACTGCCGGAAACACCAGTGTAAACATTATACATTGTTTACATTGGCATCATTTACATTGTTTACATTGGCTTCGTCAATTACATTGATAACCCCAAGGTAAACACGAGTTTACCTTGGGTTTATTTAGGTTTACATTGAGTTTACACAAGAGTTTACAGTGAGTTTATACAGGATTTACACAGAACTGCATTAGCAAATTTATTCACGAAAAAAGTTCAAGAATCGACTTCAAGACTACGATCACTAACACCTGTGGGCCAGGAGCCTCTCACTTGTGGGGGCCAGGAGCTTCCCTGTGGGGCCAAGAGGCTCACCTATGGTCCAGGAGCCTCACGCGGGGTCCAGGAGCCTCACCTGTGGTCCAGTGGGCGGTGATGTCCCGGCGGTACTGGACGCTGAAGTGGGTGATGGGGCAGCCGCCGTCGCCCCACTGGGCCAGGTACAGCGTCGCCTGCGAGCTGTTGGTCGTCACGAACTGGAACTGTGGCGGCGCCTCTGGAGGACGACCTTTGGTGCGGGCCGCTTCCGTCGACGACACCGAACTCGTGCCTGTAGACGACCGTATACCCGTCCATAACCCGTCTACCACCATATACTCAGCCAAGACCCGTCTATCACCATATACCCTCCATAACCCGTCTATCATCATATGCCCCGTCCATAACTAATCTACCATTTACTGTGGATAGCCAAGTATCCCCGTCCGTAACCCATCAGCACTTACCATGAGTCTACCACCTACCATGAGTCTACCACCTATCATGAGTCTACCACCTACCATGAGTCTACCACCTACCATGAGTCTACCATCTACTACTGTCTAAACCAATAAATAAAGGGGGATTGATACGTTCAAGAATTATGTTTCAATAGAAGCAATTGTCTACATGATATTAGTAGCCCTGTCACTATTGATTCTTCGTGCTTTAACCGTCTCTCCCTGTCATCTGCCCGCCCCCGTCTCTCACCACCTGCTACCAACTACCTGATTTGATGATGGTTAACGTAAGAAAATGTTGTTAAGACATCAGCCCAATCAATGACAAACTTAAAGTATCTATTAGGATTTTCTTAGGTTAATCTTAGCAACGGAGAGTTGAGGGGGTTTGTAGACATTAACGTTCTTCTGGAGTGGTCATTACGGGATTGAATTGTACAACTAGACAGGATTGTACATAAGGAAGGAGGAAGACGTCGAACATCCAAGAGGAGGAAGAGATCAGACATCCAAGAGAGGGGAGAAATTAGACAGAAATCAAGAGGAGAAAGAGAGGGGGACATCCAAGAGGAGAGAAGAATTAAGGAACATAAGCAAATAATCTGTCATCAAGGTGGTCGCTAATGTCAGGTGAATATATAGATATGCACGAGCAGAGAGAAAACAAGATGGATCAAGACAAGAGGATGTTCTTGTGAGGAATCCCTACGACTTGGTTTACTTATAATGAGAAGTATCAAGGAAGATGACAAGAATGGGTTCTGCAATATGACCCGAGGGGATTCATGATAAGGACTGGCCTACAAAACATGGCTGCAATTAGTCATATAATTAGAGTCGGGTTTTTTTGTAGTGTACTAATTTAACTATATAAATCTCTGGTTCGCCCCACACTTTGGATTATTCTATTATCCTTTCTGTCATCTTCGGAAAGACATAGCTACTTTTGGAGAACTTATAACACCTGGCGACAAAAAGCATTCCAGAAGTAAATCGACTCTCGTACCAGGAACAGTCGAGGGACTAAAGGCTAACACAAACAAGGAACAACTGTTTCAAACTCAGGAAGCCACAATGCAGGACTGGAAGCCGGGGGATGCGTTTTCACCCACAGGGTTATAAACCTATGAAACCGCCTTCTCGCCGAAGTCGAAAATGCCAAAAATTTAAAATCCAGCTGAAAAAAATCATCAGAGCAAATGAAGGCAGTGGGAAGGGGGAGGGACCTTCGACAAACTGAAGGCTTCCTATCCTCATCAATGCTACTAGATTGTTAGTATCCATCTTGTAAATTCAGGAAAATGCCGTCTGTACATGCTTGTAGCCAGACTGTTTAGTCCCTCGTGAACATTTGCCGTTTTTTGTGATGCTCGCCGTGGTGCAGGGAGTATTCTAGGCTCACAAGTTGAAGGGGGTCTCACGCAGAATTGAAAACGCCGTAGTGCGTAATTAATAGATATTTTAGAAGATTCGAAAACAATTTAATTTCGGAAATTTATGGGTATTTACCAGCGTTTCCTTCGCCATACTACTCCTTGTTTGGATACGATCAAAACATATCCAGTTGGAGTCCTGATCAACACGACCAAGAGGATATCCGTGGAACGCAAGAACAAGGTTATCGTATTAAATATAATAATGCAATATTTATCTGTGCTCATAATATTTGGCCTTTTTTAAAGCATTATGTAAAATGCTTTCATGTATCATAACAAAAACAATTGGTCATGATGACTTCACTCGATAATTCCTGATGTCGAAGACTCTTAAGCTTGTCGAGGTCTTCCTAAGTCAACTGCTGATCGCAGGCCTCAACCCGCCACAAATGCCCAACTCCAGCGTGCCTATTAAGCGCTCGACAAACAGGTGCCTCAGATAAAAAGGAAACCCCAGGGAATGGAACCTGGAATCTTATATTGTGAGTTAATGACGTATAGACCACTACAACACCCATTCCATCGCAATTCATTCAATATTAGGGTAGAGGACGATCACCCGCTCCTGCCCTCGGGTTCTGTGCCCCCGCCTGGTCTCTCAGAGAACCTCAACGCTGGCTCCACATCTAAAAAGAGCCTCAACCACCCTCTAGTGTTGTAGAGGCTACGGTAGGTACTGTTTCACTAAGAGATCACCAAGCACGTTGAGTGATTGGTGATCTCCGAGTCGTAGGTGCTGTAGTACGACCAGATATAGATACAGCCCCAGCTGGCTGCTGGAGGGACACGGGCACGAGAGCTCTGGAGGCCAAGAACTCAGGAGAGCAAGAGCTTCAGCGTGGTAGAAGACAAGGGGAAGAAGAGGTCGAGGGGAAGAAGAGGTCGAGGGGAAGAAGAGAGGGGCAGGTGGTGTACTGACCAATGTGGTTGTGGGCGGTGAGGTAGAAGTGGTGTAGCGTCCCACAGCGGAGATCTCTGGCTGTGTAGGACCGCTGCTCCCCGTCCACCGCTGCTCGAACCCACTCCCCGCCAGCAGACCTGTCCGGTACACACACACGTTAAACCCTCTGCTGACACTATGATGGCTTTACTGACACAATGCTGGCACTGTGATGGCCTTACTGACACTATGATGGCCTTACTGACACAATGCTGGCACTGTGATGGCCTTACTGACACTATGCTGACACTATGATGGCCTTACTGACACAATGCTGACACTATGATGGCCTTACTGACACTATGCTGACACTGTGATGGCCTTACTGACACTATGCTGCCACTGTACTGGCACTCAAGATTATACTGTCAATGTACTGGCACCATCCAGCATTACTTTACTGACACAGCGACACATGGCCTTATAAACAACTTAATATGTCAACACTGGGCTCACTTAATATGTCAACACTGGGCTCACAATGCCCCAAACACAAGGATCAGTTCAGTGCACGAACTTCGTACCGTTGTCGAAGCTGGCGACTGTCTGGCGGACGGCAGCTGGGAAGGGAGGACTTGCCTGTAGTGGAGGGTGGCTCCCTGGAGGGCGGCGCCCCCGTTGTCCTCAACACTCCACTGGACTCTGATGGAGGAGGACGTGGTCTCCGTGACGTGCAGTGACGGCGCTGACGGAGGCACTGTCGGGGAGAGAGGACACAAGGTAGTCACATCATAGGTTCACTCCCCACCAGCAGTCGTAATCCAGCGGGAAATAGCACCTAGGACACTGGCCTAGAGTTCTAGTGTGGACGAGAATGTAGATCATTGGTCTAGAAGACCGGTACTTCGGGCACCTCCGCATGGGGCCTAAAGCTCAAGGCACCAACCTAATGTGGCCGATCACCCAGAGAATTGTCTGACGTGAACCCAGAACATTGTCGCAGTAAGTGGGAATTAACTCATGCCCAGGAAAGTTTTATGCTGATGAAATGCAGGTTTATTCTGACCCAACATGGGACCACACTGACCCTACATGGGACCACACTGACCCAACATGGCACCACACTGACCCAACATGGGACCACACTGACCCAACATGGGACCACACTGACCCAACATGGGACCACACTGATCCAACATGGGACCACACTGATCCAACATGGGACCACACTGATCCAACATGGGACCACACTGACCCAACATGGGACCACACTGACCCAACATGGGACCACACTGACCCAACATGGGACCACACTGACCCAACATGGGACCACACTGACCCAACATGGGACCACACTGACCCAACATGGGACCACACTGACCCAACATGGGACCACACTGACCCAACATGGGACCACACTGACCCAACATGGGACCACACTGATCCAACATGGGACCACACTGATCCAACATGGGACCACACTGATCCAACATGGGACAACTCCGACCCACCCCAGGGTTACCCTGACCCACCCCAGGGTTACACTGACCTACCCTGGTGGTTACACTGACCTACCCTGGGGGTTACACTGACCCACCCCAGGGATACACTGAGCTACACTGACCTAGGACGGTGAGGTTGTAGGTGACGGTGTCGCTGCCGTGGTGGTTGGTGGCGGTGCAGGTGTAGCGGCCGCTGTCAGCTCGCTGGACGTCAGCCAGGGTCAGCGTCCCGTCAGGCTGTACCCGGAACCTGTCAGGATACACGAGTTGTACACAAGGTCACCACCTGTATACAAAGTCACCACCTGTACACCACACTACGTGCCTAAGGTCACCACCTGTACACAAGGTTTAATGACAAAATTAATTACAATTTTGCCTAATCGGAGCAATTCAGTTACATCTTTTTACAGTGAGGATAAGGCTATATTATCGTGGAAGGTAAGTAAATTTTCCTAAGAGCCTCGAGTGTGAAGTATACTCCTGTTTTGGCGGTTGAGAGATGGTGGGTCTCAGGGCGTGAGGAAGACACCTGGATTAACCTCTTTTGGTGGGTGGGGGGTCTGGGAATGGACCCCCTATCGTAGAAAAAGGGGAAGGGGTGGGGGATGGTCCATTATGGGGGACTCACCTGTCGTGGGGGTCCGGGATGGGAGTCTTCTGGTGGGTCCAGGTTAGTGTGGGCTCCGGTACGCCCACGGCTCCACACGCCAGACTCACGTCCTCCTTCCACGCCGCCGTCACGTTCCCGCCCACCGCCCACACGCCCGCGGGAACTGTTGACGGCACAGGGGATGACGGTTTAAATGGCAAAGTGAGTTCCCCGCCCTCACGCCCACAAAGGCTGCTAGGGGCAGAGTGGGCGGCAACAGTGGACAAATTGTGAAACAGTTCGCGTCCTCGCTCACTAATTTTGGATTCTTTGGGCCTAGCAAGTGCCCCAAAATCCAGTAACAATATCTAGACATTCTGCCATCCGAAATACATTAATTTTGAGCTAAATTATATAGGAGAGGAGTCCTGTAATTCCTGTTTACCTAGCTGTACTAAAGAAGGTTGACCTTCAACTCCTAGACCCTGCGTCTCGTTCTTCAATCAACCGGTCAATAAGAGATCTTCAAGAAAAACGAATGGGCTCTGTCATATCTACACTTGAAGATGAACATAATGCCTTCCTCAATTTGTTATCGCATTCCAGTAATTCATAACTCTGACAAAGATATTATTTTCTTGCATTGGTTTTGTGGGTTCATTCTAACAATTAACACCTGTGTCTTCGTGGTTGTATACAACCAATGCTATATAGTCTGCTTCTGTCTAATCTGTTTACCCGAGTATTTTGCATGTAGTGATCATGTTCAGGCCGAGTTGTGTGTTAGTTCCCTAAACCTCTTTATTGTGTTATGTTGTTATTTTTACATATGAATAAATCCGTGTACAAATGTCTGACTTTAGAACTTAAACATAAAAGCTCATTCCATTGTATTCATTCCATGTCCTCCCTCGTTCATGTTTCTCGTGTCCATCTGTCCTCCGTTGTTCATGACCCCCCCCTCCATGTCTTTCTATCCCCCCTTTTTATTCATGTCCCTCTTGTTAATTAACCTGTCCAGGTGTACCTTGTAGTTTCCCCTCACCCCTTTGTACCGTCATCATGTCTTCCCCCCTTTCGGCTCTGTCCTGTCCAGTGGTTTCCCCTTAGTCTCTTCTCATAACACGTGTGTGTGTGTGTGTGTGTGTGTGTGTGTGTGTGTGTGTGTGTGTGTGTGTGTGTGTGTGTGTGTGTGTGTGTGTGTGTGTGTGTGTGTGTGTGTGTACACTCACATGTTTGCAGCTGCAGGATCCCGCTTTTCTGTCCGCCGGTCGTCTAATGCAATGATTCACGACCTTATGATATCTAACTTAAGGTTATGAATGGAGTTCCCTTCCACAACCTGCTCCTTCAAGTCAGGTGATTTGCCCACAATTACGCTAAAAGACAACTTTATAACATCTCTGTGGTCTGTCTGTCTGTCTGTCTATACTGACAGACAGTCAGTCAGTATAGACAGCCAGTACTGTCTGTCTGTCTGTCTGTTTCCGCCTATCTCTGTCTGTCTCTCTCTCTTTGACACGAAGATGTGATTTGTATTTTTGTTTATATCTGATATGAGAAATGACAGAGGTACAAGACTGCGCCCTGAGGTAAAGAGATTCTCATTTTGTTTGGACTTACTTGATTTGACTGACTTTGCAGTCTGTTCGACAGGAAATTGAATGTCCACCGCCCAACCTTACCAGTTATTTCTACTGACTTCATTTAATGGGTTATCACTTCATGGTCACATGTGTGCGTGTCGACGTACCCGTGTGCGTGTCGACGTACCCGTGTGCGTGTCGACGTACCCGTGTGCGTGTCGACGTACCCGTGTGCGTGTCGACGTACCCGTGTGCGTGTCGACGTACCCGTGTGCGTGTCGACGTACCCGTGTGCGTGTCGACGTACCTGTGTGCGTAGGCTTGACCACTGTGACGCTGCTCGACGGACCTTCCCCCATCCTGGTCGACGCTGTCACCCAGACCTGACGGAGGAATCGTGTCACTCACTCCCATGGCCACCCCCATGGCCACTCCCATGGCCACCCCCATGGCCACTCCCATGGCCACCCCCAGGGCCACCCCCAGGGCCACTCCCAGAGTTACTCCCATGACACTGACCCACATCATAAATTATTTTCAACTACAAAAATTTGAGCAACAAATGTTATATAGTCACAATGTTAGAAACAAAGCTAACAGAAAATAATTCCCTCAAATTGTCCAATTACAATTAATTCAATTAAAATTAAAAAAAAAATAATTTATTAATATTAATATTAAGCCTAATTAAAACTAACATAAGTATTTTTTAATTCAAACACTTTACTTATTTTCGTTGAAATGGGATTATAATATCGCCATGAATCAAAATAAATTATTTAATGTTTTTTAATGTAAAACTTTTCACTTATCGTTTAGAGATAATTGAATTTTTTTTAATGTAAGGAAGGTCAGGTGGAGGTACTGACCTGGTGTGTGGTGTGGGGCAGGTCATGAAGGGTGAGGTGGGTGAGGTGGGGCTCCACACGCCGGCTGTGGGGGCCGCCCCGCCCACCAGCCGGCTCCCAGTGCACAGTGTAGCGGCTGATACGCCCATGTGGGCGTGTGGGCGGCGCCCACGAGACCACGGCCGCCCTTGGACCCGACACCACCGCCTTCACGCGGGCCGGCGCCTCTGGCACTGTGAACAACAACGGAATGTACAGAGTGAATATTATTGGCTCCAGGCACCTGTAGGTAGAGGCACTCGACCCTCTGACCTGTAGGTAGAGGCACTCGACCCCCTGACCTGTAGGTAGAGGCACTCGACCCCCTGACCTGTAGGTAGAGGCACTCGACCCCCTGACCTGTAGGTAGAGGCACTCGACCCTCTGACCTGTAGGTAGAGGCACTCGACCCCCTGACCTGTAGGTAGAGGCACTCGACCCCCTGACCTATAGGTAGAGGCACTCGACCCCCTGACCTGTAGGTAGAGGCACTCGACCCTCTAACCTGTAGGTAGAGGCACTCGACCCTCTGACCTGTAGGTAGAGGCACTCGACCCCCTGACCTGTAGGTAGAGGCACTCGACCCTCTAACCTGTAGGTAGAGGCACTCGACCCCCTGACCTGTAGGTAGAGGCACTCGACCCTCTGACCTGTAGGTAGAGGCACTCGACCCTCTGACCTGTAGGTAGAGGCACTCGACCCTCTGACCTGTAGGTAGAGGCACTCAAACTACTGGAAATATTGTCAAACTTTCTCAGCGATAATTAGGAACATTTTGGGTAATATTGAACACCAATATTGGTACTGACAGTCCTTGGCCGAGGGCGAGCTTACCGTCCTGGCCGAGGGCGAGCTTACCGTCGTGGCCGAGGGCGAGCTTACCGTCGTGGCCGAGGGCGAGCTTACCGTCGTGGCCGAGGGCGAGCTTACCGTCGTGGCCGAGGGCGAGCTTACCGTCGTGGCCGAGGGCGAGCTTACCGTCGTGGCCGAGGGCGAGCTTACCGTCCTGGCCGAGCTTACCGTCCTGGCCGAGGCCGAGCTTACCGTCGTGGCCGAGGGCGAGCTTACCGTCGTGGCCGAGGGCGAGCTTACCGTCCTGGCCGAGGGCGAGCTTACCGTCCTGGCCGAGGGCGAGCTTACCGTCCTGGCCGAGGGCGAGCTTACCGTCCTGGCCGAGGGCGAGCTTACCGTCCTGGCCGAGGGCGAGCTTACCGTCCTGGCCGAGGGCGAGCTTACCGTCCTGGCCGAGCTTACCGTCCTGGCCGAGGCCGAGCTTACCGTCCTGGCCGAGGGCGAGCTTACCGTCCTGGCCGAGGGCGAGCTTACCGTCCTGGCCGAGGGTGAGCTTACCGTCCTGGTCGGTGGTACAGACGATGGCGTGGGACTGGATGCCTTCGCCTGCCCTGGTGGCGGCGGCGACGGTGAGGGAGTAGTTGGTCCAGGGGGCGAGTCCCCCCAGGGTGGCCCTCTGGCCCTCCGACACCACGCTGCCACTCCGGCCTCCACCTGTGGCACACATGACACCTCGTCAAGCGACCTACCAACACCTTTAAGGACAACAGTCCCGCTAACATAAGACATTATCAACACTATGCTTCAACACCTTGAGACGCCTCAACCAAGTGACTCTCCCACTTATGACCAGGTATAAGGAAGGGTAATAAAGGAATGAGCGGAGGAGCTCAGTATGACCCAACGAGCTTAGTCAACGGAACTCACCGTGGGAGGAAGGGGAGGCAGGGGACTCACCGTGGGGGGAAGGGGAGGCAGGGGACTCACCGTGGGGGGAAGGGGAGGCAGGGGACTCACCGTGGGGGAAGGGGAGGCAGGGGACTCACCGTGGGGGGAAGGGGAGGCAGGGGACTCACCGTGGGGGGAAGGAGAAGCAGGGGACTCACTGTGGGGGGAAGGGGAGGCAGGGGACTCACCGTGGGGGAAGGGGAGGCAGGGGACTCACTGTGGGGGGAAGGGGAGGCAGGGGACTCACCGTGGGGGGAAGGGGAGGCAGGGGACTCACTGTGGGGGGAAGGGGAGGCAGGGGACTCACCGTGGGGGGAAGGGGAGGCAGGGGACTCACCGTGGGGGAAGGGGAGGCAGGGGACTCACCGTGGGGGGAAGGGGAGGCAGGGGACTCACCGTGGGGGAAGGGGAGGCAGGGGACTCACCGTGGGGGGAGACGTGAACGTAATAAACACGGTAGTTGATGACGACACCGTTCCTGTGACGTGGGGGGGGCGGCGCCCACGTCACCACCACACTTGATGACGTCACACTCTCACACGTCACGTGACCAGGCGGCGAACTCGGCTCTGTACGAACCACACAAAAACTAAAAATTTGCGGCTGGTGACAATTTAAGGTTAGCGACCAATACCAATAATAATTTATAATAAGCTTTAGGAAACGGATTTAAAGAGCACGAACGTGTCCACTTAAGATAATAATAATCATACACAGCGTCGGGGACAGGAAGTGTATATGTGTGTGTGTGTGTGTGTGTGTGTGTGTATATATATATATATATATATATATATATATATATATATATATATATATATATATATATATATATATATATATATATATATATATATATATATATATATATATTGGAGGAAAGGTTCCTACATCTTTGTGTACTGTCAATGTTACGTTAAAACAAAAATCCTGTAACATTATAGAAAATTAAATACTAAACAGCACAAAAAAAGAAAAAGTTTTTTAAAGAAAAAAATAGTTATTTTTTCAGAAAAAAAATGTAAGCGGACATATTAATTTGTAATATTTTGTGAACATTTCGTAATGATATATAGGCCGGGTGGGCGGTCTGAACACAGCAACAGTGGGACCCACTTCTCCAACCCGTTCTCGCAAATTCGTAAAGTCAATATTGACTTATTAACTACGTGCATAGGTGATATACTAAACATAATAGATACCCTTAAAAAGATTCATAGAAAACACCGACCTTACCTAACCTTGTTAGTATCTTAAGATAAGCATCTTATTGCTCCGTAATTACAATTATTACTTAACCTATACCTGTTATAGGTTAGGTAATAATTGTAATTACGAAGCAATAAGATGCTTATCTTAAGATACTAACAAGGTTAGGTAAGGTCGGTGTTTTCTATGAATCTTTTTAAGGGTATCTATTATGTTAAGTATGTCACCTATGCACATATTTAATAAGTCAATATTGACTTATTAAATTTGCGAGAACGGGTTGACTTCTCTCCCCTCTTAGACGTTCCAATAATGAGATTCCCCTCTAATATAATAATTTATAGCATCTGAATCATATATCCCATATCTGAATTCTGTCAACAAATCATAAATAATACCAAAAATGCAAACAAACACAAATATAATCTTAAACCATCTATCGACGTTTATAGCAGTCTAAGGGTTATTGCAATTTTTTTTCCAACAGCCTGCCCGCTGCCCCCCATAATACACTAGATCTTGTGGACTGACCGTTCACACAATCCACCCCCCCCATCCCAACAGCCACTCCACAAACCTTTATTCCCTGCCTATCCATGTAGCCTACAGCATCCACACAGCCTGCACCACAGCAGCCACACAGCCTGCACCACACAGCCTGCACCACAGCAGCCACACAGCCTGCACCACACGGCCTATATCCACCTCACGCCCACAACTCACTGTCCTCCAGCGTGGTGGCGAGGGCGGGCGGGGAGGCGGGTCCGGCGCCCTTGGAGTTGAAGGCCTGAAGGACCACAGCGTAGCGGGCGTGCGGGCGGAGGCCGGCCAGGGTGGCGCTGGTCACGCCCACTCCATCCACGCCCACCGTCGTGAAGTTGTACGCCCCGCCCTCACCCTCGCTGTCGGGAGAGGGGAGAGGTGAGCCAGGTGTGAGGGGAGAGGTCTTCAGGTGTGAGGGGAGGTACGAGCTACGGGTGAAAGCAGGGGTGAATCAGGTGTGAAGGAAGGTCAGGCATGATTGGTGACAAGTCAGGTGTTTTTGATGACAATATGGCCATTGACAATGCACTTCGAAGGCAGCCTGGTCCTCTGAAATCATGTTTACGTCATTTACCAGACAAATAGGAAACCATGAACAAAAATTACTCTCAGGTCAACACTCGTCAAACAGGGCAAGAGTGGAAAATGAGTTCTGTAACGTATAGGTTACAGAGGCTGAGGTCTGTAAACAATTCAAGCAAATTAGTTTGTTCTTATCCCTTAAGCTGCTGAAATTAGTTGGACTTCCCCATATGGTTAAGCCTGATCCTTCACCCAGCAGTAACAGAGATGACAGAGCACCCGCTCTGTCATCATTACCATGGGAGAGATATTTCAGGTCTTAATTTATGCAAAATGTGAGATATATCGAGCCATACATATCATTGGATAGGACATAATTGATTTTAATTAATATCCTAAGGAATAATAATTATTATTATTATTATTCATAATAATAATTACTATGAGAGATGGGCGCCGTGTCACGATTACCGTGGAAGAGGGTCTCACCTGGCGTCCTTGAAGCCCAGATAGTAGCCGAGGACGTCGCCATGGGTGAGGTTGTGGGGTGGGGGGTCCCAGGACACCTGTAGCGCCGTCGACGACACCCCTAACACCTGTTACAAAGAATCATTCACATGTGTTAGCTCCTAAACTAACAACACCCTTTATAATCGAATGTAACATTTTTGTCAGTCTGTGGCAGTGAATGTTATTCCTGGTGTACTTTGTGTGTCAAAACTGTTTGAAAGTGGTTATAAAAGCAGATTAAGAAAGGTTGATTGATGAAGATTAAGCCAAGAGGTGGCCCGTAAGTGGTATAAATTTTTTGAAGTGAATATGATCTTTGGTCGTGACAGATTAAGCAGATTTAACCCGTCACTAAAGCTCACTCAACCTAAGAAAGGCAATGGGGTCAGACAAGGTCAGTCTAAGACTTAACACACTTGAGTTAGGTCAGCTGTCACCTCCAACTCATGTCTAGTACAAGGAACACAGTTGTTCTTAAGGAAGATGGTGAGCTCTGTACTTGTGAGCAAACAATACACAGATGTATAGAACTGTTCAGGGGGGCGATATATCATCTAGAGATCAGTGCCACTACTATCAATGTGGTCTGATTTCCGATGCAATAATCTCACACTAGTTCACTTTCTCCATCTCCACCTTACTCCCCAAATATTCCTCTCTCCAAGGCAGAAAACAAATCTCGTGAGGGGGAGATACTTTGTAATAAATGAGGGCAGAGGGGAGGGATGGTGAGAGAGAGATTTACTAACAATAACGTTCTGGGGGCTGGCTGACGGGGGCTCCTCCTGCGTGCTGACACGTAGAGGGGCTGACGGCTGACTACGCCCCACACGATTCTCAGCCACCAGCGTCAGGGTGTAGGTTGTGGCGGGCAGGAGACCCTCCAGCCGCACCTTCTGCTGCTCCCCCTCCACCGTCACCTCTCGAGGACCACCTGCATCAAGGAAAAAATGTTAGTAGTAGAAAAAAATCCTTTAAAATATACACACCACACATACGCACACACCTATTCACCTACCAGGGGACTGCTGGGCGTCGAAGGTGACGAGGTAGGCGGTGATGGGGGCGTTGGAGTCCTGGGGGGGCGTCCAGGTGAGTGTGAGGTGACGTGACCCCTCCTCCACCACCGTCACTCCAGAGGGGGGGTCAGGCACGTCTGGGGAGGGGGGGAAGAAGAGGCACTATAACCAAGCACTCAGACAAGATAACTTCTATGCTTATACGGGTATAAGTATTATACTGTGATCTTTACTGTGACCTTAGGACCTGTAAGAATATTAAGACCTTTTAGAAATATTAAGACCTGCAAGAATATTTGACCTGCAACAACATAACATTATAACCTGTAAGAAATATTAGGACCAGCAGGAACATTAACTGTAAGACTATTAACACCTGTAAGAACATATTAGGACGAGGAGCCACAATAACAATCAATTGGGAAGTTTTTTTTTATATATATTTACATGCATTTATTATGTACATGACACATAAATACAATAAAAACAAAAGACAAAGAAACAGACCACTAACAAAAGCACAAAGTAACAGAACAAGAAGCCCCAAACCAAACCCAACACAAACACATGAATAACACACAAAGACATAAGTATATAGCAACAAATACACACAGAAAGATAATACACGAGGCAGTTCTAAGTGTTCGTTGGAATAAGGTCCTTGCCGGGCACTGTGCTGGGATGCTTGACGGTTCCCGCACCCTGACGATAGTCAGGGTGCGGGAAGTGTAGTGTCCTGAAGTGTAGTGTCCTGTCTTCGGTGTCCGTGTTGGGTTACACGCTCCGCTGCCTGTATCGGGGGCAACCGCGCACCTGTTATCGGTGTGGTCACGAGGGTCATCTGGCTGCAGCGTGCGACGTGGGAGAAACTGGTTGGGTGCATATTTTTCGTGCGGAGGATTTTCCACCCCTGTTGCATTTCGACGGTTCTGAGGACGGAGTGGGTACTGTTCCTGAGGCGCCCGATTGCCTGTCTGCTGCTCCGCCTGTTGAGGCAGGTTCTATGGCTTGTGGGACGCGTCTGATGCCTACCGGGGGTCCCAGGGATTGTTGAGGCGGTGTGTGTGTGGGTGTCGGGCCATCGCCTGCACTGCGTGTGGTGGGGGATGTCCCACTGGAGGTCCATGTCCTGCCCCCGCCGGTGAATGTAGTCCCGGCTCCCGGGGGTGCAGGTTCTTCTGTTTTGGAGGGGTGCATCGGCCGGGGTAGGTGCCTGCCATGCCTGTGTGTCTCGACGACTGTCGTTCTGATGCTTTCATCCCATTGCAGAAGCGTGCGCGCCAGTGTTCCGAGTCAGTTTCCCTGGATGACGTGGAGAGTGTGAGCGATGTGGCTTCTGTGGATTCTTCGGACGGTGTGGATGTGGACCAAGTGGATGCGGTGATGGTGCCCGTGCCTGCGGTGGGGCTTGGTGTGGTTTGGTCTGTCTCGAAGCACTCGAGGCGGGCTCAGAGTGTGTCTCCCCTTAGTCGTGTGCCTTGGGAGGAGGTGGGGGGAGTATAGTGCTCCGGCGCCCCCCGCCATAGGTGACAGGGCTGTGAGGGGCTCCGAGTTGCTCCCTGTGCCTCCTGCTCTTGGTTCATGGGCTCCTGTGCCCAGTGGCGGGCTCGATGCCACGCCTGCGTCCCCTGCGGTTCTCCCTCCTTCGTTGTCCCAGTCTGGGGGATCCTTGTGACCCATGAGGGTCAGGTGTTGGGCCCTTCTTGGGATACCCGGGCGCTTCCGATCCCATGGTGCTCTTCCACTATCTGGGTGCCGCGGGTGAAGGAGTTTCTTTATGAGACGCTGGCCAAGATGTCTCTGCTGCAGGCGCCGCCTGGTGGCCGGGTATCCACTGACACGTTGCTGATTTGGGAAGCGTACTGCTTACGCTTTCCGATACGTTAGTTCCAGGAAAAATATTAGTAGCCGTCATGCGCTCAACGTACCGCCCTCCAGAGCGGCACGTCTCCCTCTAACGTCCACCTCTGTTTTCGTCGCCGCTCCTCTATTTACAGCTCCTCGCGACCAACACTTTTGATCCTATCATTCTCAACATTCACGCGTCTCCTAACATCTTTACTGGTCATAGGGAGGACGAACCTTTCATGCAAACTGCACCTACTTTCAAGATGAAAGTACATGGTACAGTATCTACGTCACCGTAGATACTGTACCATGCACGATGAGCACCGTAAACACAGTACCATGCACGATGAGCACCGTGGACACTGTACCTTGGACTAGGAGGTGGAAGTCGGCGGTGAGGACGCCGTGGGTGTTGGTGGCGGTACACACATAGGTCCCGGAGTCACTGAGGTGGGACGACCTGACCACCAGTTCCGACACCTGGCCCGTCTCCACCTGCCGCTCCGACACCTCGTACCTGTGGGGGTACCTGGTGGGTTAGTACCTGGTACCTGTGGGGGTACCTGGTGGGTTAGTACCTGGTACCTGTGGGGGGAAGGGGTACCTGGTGGGTTAGTATCTAATGCCTGTGGGGTACCTGGTAGGTTAGTACCTTGTACATGTTGGACACCTGACCAGCTACGACAATACTAGTAATAGTATTGTACAATACTAGTACTCGCCTAGTACTACCAGCTATTTCTTCCATATTTATACATATATCAACATATGTATCCTCCTTTGTGTACATTCTACGCGAGTCACATCATACTAAGTCTTTGCTACACTTTTTCTCAATGTTTGTTACCACACCAAAATTAGATTAATTTCCGTGTGATGTGTCGCGTTCAGTAAAATATATATATATTTTTTTTATTTTTTTTTTTACATGCAAGCATGCTTATAAGTACAATAAAAGGAAACAGTTACATCATAAAACAACAAAAAGACAAAGCACAAACGGGCAAAACTAAGGAACAAAAGTACTAAACACAATAACGCCGGCCGGAAGAGCCCATCACAAAACAACAATAATTACACACAGAATACAATAATTAAGTGAAACACAGCAGAATACAAAACAGAAATAACACACCAAAACCTGAAACATACAGAACAAGGCTACCAGCACCGCAAACACACACGGAGAGGCACCAACATAAAAACAAAAAAGTAAAAAATAAATAACTAACAATACAACAACATAATTATACAATAAACAAACGGAAAAGCTCAACGGCAAAACTCGACAAAAAGCATAAATCCAGACCAGGTCACGCCAACAGCCTGAAGGGCACTCAACACCACACAAACAAGCGCACAAACAGCATCATACAACCATAGAACCACAAAGCATAACATAAGAACATGACACCCACAACCAGACACACTCCAGACCGGCTCCAGAGGGGAGCCGGTCGGCCGAGCGGACAGCACGCTGGACTTGTGATCCTGTGGTCCTGGGTTCGATCCCAGGCGCCGGCGAGAAACAATGGGCAGAGTTTCTTTCACCCTATGCCCCTGTTACCTAGCAGTAAAATAGGTACCTGGGTGTTAGTCAGCTGTCACGGGCTGCTTCCTGGGGGTGGAGGCCTGGTCGAGGACCGGGCCGCGGGGACACTAAAAAGCCCCCGAAATCATCTCAAGATAACTCAAGATAACCACACAAACGAAACCCCGGACCGCACAGGAACCGGACACATACACACAAGCCACACAAAAAAAAACCACAACCACAAACCGGACCATGCAGGAACCGGGAAACAAACCCGCCCCACCCACTCACACACACCCCACACCCATGCACACTAATGGAAACAACCCACAACACACAAAGGAATCACGAGTGAGGAACACATTCCTCAAAGACAAGACCATATGTCTCCGCAGCCCAGGGATACCGTCGCTTGTAGGCCTCCCAAATCATATATTCCCTGTCGGTAGGGGGACAATCCCCCTGCCGCCGCGGGCCCTTCATAAACTCGGGAACCACCAGATCAGGTGGAAACGGCCACTCCTTAAGCTCACTGACGCAAGTCGCATAACGAGGCTGGGGAGCGCAACCCACGTCCTTCGAGGTAGCAGACGACACCGCTGAAGCGTACGAGGGCTGCCGGGACGGCCGCGTCGCCGTACGCACAGGAGCAGGGGACAATCGACGAGATGGCAACTCCACCGAGACCGCAGGAGACACTGAAGAGACGGCCGGAGACGGAAGAGGCGTCGAGACCGCAGCCGATGAAACGGGGACCGAGGAAGGGGTTTACAGAACCCCCAGAACGAGCAGTCTTTTTCAACACCATCACCAGGCCACCCCGCTCACCACGAACCTCGGCAGGGGGAACCACCTCCCATGAAGAACCGGAGCCATCCGATGCAGGCGACGCACCCGAAGCAGGAACCTCAGTCACCATATCTGCAGTGGAGGCCGAAACACTGGCACGGGCATCCTCAGGCAAATGCACCTCCGCCGTCACCGTAGTACGCAACATAACCGGAGCCACCCCTCCGTCGCCGGCAGATTCACAAGCAACGAAGTCGCCATCATCTGTCCATGCTGAAGACGAACGCCGAGAACGCTTAGGCTCGGGCCGCACATCATCCGACCCGGAGGCAGACTCCGAGACACGCGCAACACAAGCAGGGCGAACCGATGCACGTCGCAGAACGGCAGCATCCTCAACCACATGGGGCACCAGGCCAGGCACAGGAGGAAGCGCCGGATCCACCCCATCACCCAGCATAGCCGGAACAGACAGCGAGGGTGCAGGGACAGGGTTAGACGCAGAAGAGGACGAACTGGAAGACGGGGGAATCGAGCAGCAGGCAGTCTGAAGAACCCCAGGGACACAAGTCGGAGCAGGACGATCACCCTGCGACGCCACCACCTCTGTAGGAGAGGCGACCACAACAGGGGGTGCACCAGGTGGCGCAACAGGCGACACAGGGGGCACATCCGGGGCTGAAGAGACGGCCACATCCACTGAATCCTCCTCCACAGGAAGCGGCGGAAAATCCACCTCACTGAAGAGGTTCATGGGTGCAACGGCAGGCGCAAAACAGTCAGCAGCCTGATGGCCCAAGAGGCCACAACGATAACACGTCCAAGGCTAGCGGGCGTAAAATACCCGAACGTTGTAGCCCATAAGCCGCACAGAGGACGGAATATCTTCCCGGAGCCTCATGCCCAGGGTGCGAATGTTGGTCCTCACACCCTTAAGTGGACTGGAAGACACCACGTTCACCCTCACACTAATCACTGCGCCATACTGGCCGAAGTACTGCCGTAGCAGACTCTCTGGAAACTCCAACGGAGCCCCATGCACACTGACGTACGTGAGGGCACCACTCCTATCAGATAGTGACACAGTGCCCGCACCATCCGGCAGGGGAAATGTCCGCCGCTCGTAACGACGGAGAAACTCGCGATATGCCAATTCCTCAGTAAGGCATTTGTTGTTGACCCGGCGAGGAGTGAGGACCTGGTGTCGCTGCTGACGTGGCTTGTGTACCGTGTTATTGCTGAGGGGCCCTTGGGGCCGTGACGGTCTGCGATCATGGGGGAGCCTGTGCCCCGTGTCTCCAGGCAGGCCTCCATTGGCCTGGAGTTTTCTGGGATTGCTTCGTACCACGCTGTGGAGGTGGTAATGATTGATATGTTTCGTGTCCCAGTGGAGTCTGTATGTGGTGTGCAGCTGCTCGCCGGCCGGCGGGCGATAGTCAAGTTCAACTCTCCGGCGATTTATCAAGATATCGTCACGCGCTATGATGGGCGCTCTTTCGATCTTCCTGGGGATGGTGGGTTGGTAACCCTATCCGACCGTTGTGGAGCCACGACGTATGTGGCTGTGCATGGGATGCCTTTTGAGTTCCCTGAGGATCTTCTACGTAGGTACTTTGCCCGGTTTGGGCGGGTTCTACATGTGAGGATGAATGCTGTCCCTACTGGGAGATGGAAGGGGGTTCCGTGTGGGACCCGCACTCTTGCCATGCGCCTCCGGGGTTCTGTGCCGTCCTCCATCATGCTGTTAGGGTTCCTGATTCGTGTTTTTCACGCAGGACAACCTCGGACTTGTTTCCGGTGCGGCCTACCGGGTCACCTGGCCGCCGGGTCACCCCTGTCAACCTTTTCCAGGAGGAGGATTTTCCCCCGCTGTCGGCTCCGGACCTGTCTCCCCGTGATGGTCAGGATGTTGCTTCCCTGCTGGTTTCGACCCCGGTGTTGGATGGTAGTGTGGATGTTGACGTAGGGGTTGTGGCGGCCTCGCCCCCGTCACCGGCTTCCCCGCCTTCGACGTCCCTGCCCCTGTCGCCCCTGCCCGCTCCGTCTCATCCGCCCGTGCCTGCTCCGTCCCTACATGTGGCGTCTCCAGTCCCTTTGGATGTTAGCGGCGGGGAGTCTCCTGTGGTGTGTGGTCCAGTGCCCCCGGTCGTGGAGGCTGCGGTTCTCAGGGGCCGGGCCTTGAAAGCGCGTCCATTGGAGTGTTCTACTGTGTTACGGGATGATGGGGGTGATAGCTTGGATGACCGGCAGCCTGTCTCCAAGCGCTCAAGGCGGGTCCGGAGTGTGTCCCCCCTTCGTGGGGTGCCTTGGGTGGAGGCGGAAGAATACGTTGTTCCGACGTCTCCTGTCATGGTTGGCGATGCTGTGGGGGGCTCTGTGCTGCCTCCGGAATCACCCCCTATACCTACTGCTGATGACTCCCCTCGGTGGGAGGTTGCTCCTGCCGCACGGGACCTCGTCGTGGTCTTACGGAAGGATGTGCGCCGAGGTGCCTCTGCTCATCTGCTTGGTGGAGGGGGCCCGACTCGTCTGTGTCCTCTGCGGGTTCCCCTAGTGTGCAGCCTCGTGTGAAGCCTCGTGAGAGGCCTCGTGAGAAGCCTCGTGCGCCGGTTGGTACGGAGCCCTGTGCGGCGCCCGACGAACCTCCCAGTGCCGATACCAGTGCGAAACCACCTAGTGTGGACCCCCTCCCTGTGCTCGCAGGCGACGGGGGCGTGGTCCCTAAGTCACGGGTTTTGGACCTCGTTTGGGACGACCGGGTGCGTGAGGGCCCGTGGTGCTCGTCGACTATTTGGGTACCGAGGTTGAAGGGGTTTATTTATGGGGTGCCTGATTGGATGCCTCGGCCTTGTGCGTCTCCTGGTAGACAAGTGTCTGAGGACGTCCAGCTGATCTGGGAGGCGTACTGCTTGCGCTTCCCAGCCAAGGAGTTTCCAGACAAGTATCGTTAGCGCCTGTGTTTATTTGGGTACTCTGTTTATTTTCTTGCCGTGTCTGCGGTTCTATGTCTGGTTTGTCTCCGTGTTTGGTTTCGCCCTGTTGGGCGGTGTGTTTGTGTATTTGTTCTGAGTGCACTTCTTTTTGGCTGTGCTGTGTGTGTGTTGTGTTCTGTTGCTTGTGTTGGTTCTAGGGCTGTTTGTGTGTGTGTTTGTTTGCCGGTTCCTGCGTGTTCCAGTTATGAACTTCCTGTCTGTCTTGGCTTGTAGTATTGCTTGTGTGGCCTTTCAGGCTGGCTTGTTACTAGATTTGTATTATTTTGTACCATGTCATTCTGAGTCTTTTTTTTGTTTTCTGTTGTACGCTTGTTTTTTTTTGTTTTATGTTTTCTTTCTGTTGTTCTCATGTTTCTTTGTGCTTTATGGATCACTGCTTGTACTGTTTTGACTAGCTGTTTTTATGTGTAGTTCATGTACTTTCCTATGAATTTTTGTTTTGTTCTTTGTTTTCCCTTTTCTGTTATGTTGCTCTGTGTTATTTTATGTCTTTCAATGTTCTTTGTAATTCTATGCTTTACTGTTTATATGGTTGCATGTACGCTGTTTTACTTTGTTTTAACAATAAAAAGAAAAAAAAAATATTCCTCAGTAAACTTCAATATCGCTCGACGAGCCGTCACCAGCTCGACACCATAAATGTCGATCACAGGGACATGAAGCACCTCACACACCAGCACTATCTCTGGGTACCCAGCCAGGCCGGAAAATTCGAGGCCCACAGACTGAGCCCGCAGTATAGGGGGGAGGGGGACCCCCATCGTTAACTCCGCGTCAGCACAGGCAGGCAGAGACACACCCGCCCTCAACCGGCCAAATTGGTAAACACCACCAACAGCCGGAGCGCCGATTCACCACGTCCTTGCCCTACCGAAGCTAGGGCTAGCCGTAAAATATATTTGTAGAAATACTAAGTTTGTACATTAATATAAAATGCTTCTATAATCTTGTTGTATTCTGCTTGTTTTTACATTAAATGCCTGTAAAGCGCTTTACATACTCGTGGCTTTATAAAATATGAATGTCATGTTAACAACTATTCAACCACTGTTTCGTGTTTTGGATATTATAAATAAAATTATTATTATTAGTATTATTTTTAAACTCAGCCTCTAGAAGTCAATGAAGAAACTAAGTTATTGTGAACAAAATGTTTATAACAGAATATTAGGAGAGTTAATTACAGCTTGAGGAAAAGGGATAACTGACAGGTACAAAGATAGAGGAAATGGAGGAATCAATTGCATTAGAAGTTAAGGGGCGGCGCCCCTGACTTACCTAGGGATGGGGGTCATGGGGGCGGCGCCCCAGACTTACCTAGGGATGGGGGGCAGGGGGGCGGCGCCCCTGGTCCAGGTGAGGGCCAGGGGAGCGTCACCATGCGCCTCACAGGTGAGAGTGGCGGTGCCTCCCACCTCCACCTGCTGCCGCTGGCTCCTCACCCCGAACCACGGAGGCTCTGACACACACACAAACAGCCTGTTAGTGTTGGTACTCGGCACACACATCCAATGACACACCCAGGTTGTTAGTGCTTGTGTTAAACACACACAACCAAACCATATTTTTACACATAACTTAATGTTCAGACTGCCACAAGATATCAAGATAATTCTGACATTACTCACGATAACGGCCGTTATTGGCAACGGTTAAGGGGCCGTTACTGTTGACCATGAGGTGAGAGGCGGTAAGGGAGGGTACTGACCGTTGACGCTGAGAGTGATGACCTTGGAGAGTCCGGCGCCGACACCGTTGTTGGCCTCACACAAGTAGCGGCCCTCGTGGCGGTGGTCCGCCCGACTCACCGCCAGGGTCCCGTTCTCCCAGCCGGCCACGCCCCCTTCACCCGTGGCCACGCCCACGAACTCTCCCGACACTGTGGGGATACATGTGTCACTGTTACCCCGGACACTGTGGGGATACATGTGTCACTGTTACCCCGAACACTGTGGGGATACATGTGTCACTGTTACCCTGGACACTAGTGATACATGTGTCACTGTTACCCCAGACACTAGTGATACATGTGTCACTGTTACCCAGGACACTAGTGATACATGTGTCACTGTTACCCCGGATACTGTAGGGATACATGTGTCACTGTTACCCCAGACACTGTGGGGATACATGTGTCACTGTTAAACCGGACACTGTGGTGATACATGTGTCACTGTTACCCCGAACACTGTGGGGATACATGTGTCACTGTTACCCCGGACACTGTGGGGATACATGTGTCACTGTTACCCCGGATACTGTAGGGATACATGTGTCACTGTTACCCCGAACACTGTGGGGATACATGTGTCACTGTTACCCCGGATACTGTAGGGATACATGTGTCACTGTTACCCAGGACACTAGTTATACATGTGTCACTGTTACCCCAGACACTGTGGGGATACATGTGTCACTGTTACCCCATACAATGTGGTGATACATGTGTCACCAGAACATCGTAATGACACTTATACCAATGTTACATGGACACGTACACTCATGTCAATATTGTCAAGACACTGTAGTGACACATGTATCACGCATGACACAGGAATTATGTATAATTCGTCAATTTCCTTGTACAATATTGTGTGTCGTTATATCCTGTCCACCTTGTTCTTGTCTCTTCAAGTGAGACGAGGCCTTAGTCTCGCTATCTTTTGTTGGGTTCTCGCTATCTTTTTCTGGTTCTCGCTATCTTTTTCTGGTTCTTGCTATCTTTTTTTCTAGTTCTTGCTATCTTTTTTTGTCTCGTTCTCGCTATCTTTTTGTCTGGTTCTCGTTATCTTTTTTTATGGTTTTCGCTATATATTTTCGGTTCTCGCTATCTTTTTTTTCTGGTTCTCGCTATCTTTTATCTGTTTTTTGCTATCTTTTTTCAGGTTCTCGTTATCTTTTTCTGGTTCTCGCTATATATTTTCGGGTTCTCACTATCTTTTTTTCTGGTTCTCGATGTCTTTTTCTGGTTCCCGCTATCTTTTTTTCTCGCTATCTTTTTCAGGTTCCGCCTTTTTTGGGTTCTCGCTATCTTTTTTCTAGTTCTCGCTATCTTTTTCTGGTTTTCGTTATTTTTTTTTGTTCTCGCTATCTTTTTTCTTGTAAAATTCCTTTTAGTGTTAGTATGTGTGTGGGCGCGTGCGCGCGCGCGTGTGTGTGTGTGTGTACTTACCTAATTGTGGTTTCGATGGGTTGAGCTCTGGCTCTTTGGTCCCGCCTCTCAACTGTCAATCAACTGGAAGGAAACTGTGTATGGAGTCAGCCTCCACCACATCACTGCCTAATGCATTCCATCTGTTAACTACTTTGACACTGAAAAAAGTTCTTTCTAACGTCCCTGTGGCTCATTTGGGTACTCAGTCTCCACCTGTGTCCCCTTGTTCGCGTCCCACCAATGTTAAACAGTTTATCCTAATCTACCCTAGTCAATTCCTCTGAGAATTTTGTAGGTAATTATTATGTCTGCCCTTCCTCATCCAGTGCCATGAGGTTCTGTTCCAGTAATCTTTCCTCATAGCTTATTCCTCTCAGCTCGGGGACCAGCCTGGTGGCATACCTCTGAACCTTTTCTAACTTTGTTTTGTGTTTGACTAGATGTAGACTCCACGCTGGAGCTGCATATTCCAGTATTGGTCTGACATATGTGGTACACAAGGTTCTAAATGACTCCTTACCCAAGTTTCTGAAGGCAGTTCTTATGAGCGCCAATCTTGCATACGCCGCTGATGTTATCCTTTTGATGTTTGGTTCAGGGGGACAGGTCTGGTGTGATATCCTCCCCCAGATCTTTCTCTCGCCCTGACTCCTGAAGGATTTTCTCTCCCAACTGGTACCTTGTGTTTGACCTCCTGCTCTCTACGCCTATCTTCATCATTTTGCACTTGCTCGAGTTAAACTCTAGTAACCATATGCTGGACCATTTCTTCAGTCCGTCCCGGTCATCCTGTAGCCTCTTGCTGTCCTCCTACCATCCTACGTGTGCGTGAGCGCCCACATTTTAACATGCATGAGCGTATAAAAGCACAAATTTAATTTTCTCCAAGTGCGGGGCTAACTGGCGTGTGTATTGCAACTCATCTAAATGTTCATTTAAATTGAGGAAAGTTAATGAATAATATTAGCATACATTAAGAAATGAGATTAAAACTCGCCTCCCACGCCGAAGCTGCTTGCTTGGTGGGAGCGCAGGACCCTGGGGCTACGCCAGGGGGACACCGCCCCCCACACACCCACCCACACACACACACAGTAACACCGCAACCCCCCACCCACCACCCACAGCAACACCGCAATGGGTAGGAAGTGTTGGTCATGGGGGGAAAGGAGGCGGGTGGAGTTTCTGATGTTGCTTCCTAGTGCAGGACGGTTCGTTGGGTGGGGTGTTGAAGGACGGTTCGGTGGGTAGGGTGTTGCTGGGCGGTTCGATTTGGACGGGTGTCATGGATTGCTTGCAAGTGAATATATACAAACATATGCACTGGTGCGGGGGATGCAGGGGGAGGGGGGGGGGAAGAGGCATTGTAACCCAAACGTAGTTAAATAAATTTAAATAGATTGCCTCGCAAATATATGAGGCAACGGAAGTGTTTATGAATGTATGAATGGATGTGGTCGAACCATCTGGGACCCCGGAGGTCCCAGATGGGACCCCCGAGGGTGTGATCCAAGGCGGTGTTGTGGAGTTGTACACGTAGGAAAGATATTGTTCATATACTGTGAACGTTGTTAAGTCTACTTAAGTGTTGCTCCTCGTCCCTCTCTTGAGCATGTGTCCTCGAGACTTCGCTAGCCTGATGATGGTGAATGATTGGATATAATGAGATACATGTCGGGAGTATGGTGAGAGGTGTTCTGCTTACAACACCAACACTCACCTCCGGACCAAAGAGCCAAAGCTCAACCCCCGCAAGCACAATTAGGTGAGTACACGCTCACCATCACCACAACACCCACCATCACCACCACACTCACCGCAACCATCCCAAGCCGTGCTGACAATCAAGACGCATAACAATCAACAATTACGTGTTGTGAGGAGGGGGGGGGGGTTAGGGCAGGGCTGAGCACCACGATGCTGTGCTCATTAGAGGTAAATAATAACCTAATTACCGTGGCACTGGAGCCGATTATAGGAGCGGAAATGTAGTCATGAACTCAGTACTGCTCAGTAATTGACGGCATGTGTCTCAGGAGATGCAGCTGGGGATGTAATTAGTATACTCTGTCCTTGTTAAGAAAAGACAAAACGCTTGTGTATAAGTTTTTAAAAATATTAAAATTCTGCATCTTCATGTTATGGGTACAAACCCACTCTTATCTCACCCACATCCTCTCTCATCCACACCCATTCTCATCCACACCTACTCCTCCCTCTCTCATCCACACCCACAACCACTCACCCACTCCCTCACCCACACTGTTATAAACGACGGTATTTCTGTAATGTACAACTTTGTCATGTCTGAGAACGTATACCTATTTTGCCCCATATGTTACTAAGCCTACGTAACTGTTGTTATATAACACATCGTTAACCAAGAACGTTATACAGTGTTATGTATGGTATTATATATATATATATATATATATATATATATATATATATATATTACACCAGTGGTGGTACCCCCCTATATATATATATATATATATATATATATATATATATATATATATATATATATATATATATATATATATATATATATATATATATAGTACAGTGCCTGTATTTGTAATAACAATGTTTTACAAATTAAATGTGTGTGTGTCTTATGTCTAAAGATAGTATCATTATACACAAGTATTGTTAATGCTTCCTCACACTAGACATTCTATAAACACAGCATATGTAGCCCTTCTTTCCTTCCAGGCAGAGAATACGAGACAGACTAAGTGTGTTCCAGGCCTGTGGGAAGTGGTCCCTGAGCGCTCAAGAGATTGCGTCGGAATTTCTTGTTTGGGAGACAAGTCAAAATTGCCGACTATCCAAGAGGTTTGATGAGTGTTTGTTTAAGTTCGCGCAATGGTGCTCACGTTGTCGTCAAGTTATATACTGATTGCTGCGAGAAATTACTTATTTGAGATTTAATCGGAAATTATAAATTGTCGAAGGGTGTATCCTCTAAATCTTTAACAGTTTTCTTTAATACATAATAGTTTTTACCATTTGTAATTGGCACAAAATTACCAAATTGGCTAGTGAAAGTGCAGGAAATCTCCCAATTATGTTATAATTGGTAATGTAACCTTTAATAAATAATTAAAATAATGGTTAATAATAAAATAATGGTTAAATAATGTAACCTTTCCTCTAACCTATCCCAACGCAGCAAAAGAATTAATTAACCTCGAAAAACAAGAAATATGACGTTAACTCAGATCAATATACATAAACACTTCCAATATTCAAATAATAATAATAATAAAAATCATATAGGTTAGAAATCAGCCTCGTCCTCTCGAGTTCTCACAACGGACAGAATATAATGTACTAAATTGCGCGATAAACCCAGGCATAAAACACGTGCATGTCTGTGAGCCGGTGTGATTTATAGTACATTATATTTTAACCGTTAGGGGCTTTGACGTCAAAATTCGAGAGAACAGGTTGCAGAAATAGCTGTCAGTTGCCCCTGGCAGACTTCAAAGAAAACGTTAATGAAAATTGAAAGAAAGCGAGCCGTGCAGACTCAGCGGACCCTAATGTAAAAAGAAAATACACTGGTTGTTTGTCGAATAATTATTTTTTCTCTCCCGGTGAACTGACCCGAGAGGGAAACAAACACTGAAGGATTATCGGCTTCCCATTATCTGGGACAGGAAACCTGTTAGGCTGATCGAGGCTTCCTTTACCCAACAGCTGACCTTCCTCCCACGATTCATCCCACAGATAGTTTAGCTTCCAGGGCACCTATTTAGTGGGATGCGAACAGCGGCAACGGGAGTAAGAAATCGAACACAAACGACCCGTGCTGTACCGGACTGAACCCTCAAGTGACCACAGGATATGAACAGACTGCGCTCGTTATATCACAAGGATATATTATCATTATAATATGCTAGAGTTAGGAAAGATTAGGTTAGAAAACGTTAGGTATGGAGAGGTCAGTAAGTAAATAATTATCAAAGAAGGCACCAAACCGGGAAGGCTATGTAGCAATGGAGAGGTCAGGCCAGGTCTGCTAGTCGAAGTTTGTTATTGTGACAATTACACCGCCCATTATTATGAAGACTGAAGTGATGCTAACGTCAACCTTGTCTGCTACACGACAACTGCAGCGAATCAAATTGGCATCAAATTAGTTTCCAATTGCATCAAATTAGTTAAGAGAGATTAAATGTGAGAGCGTTATGGACAGAAGGTGGACAAATATACCAATAGAAAGGAAAGAGGGTCATTCGGAGAAAGGGCTAAGCCAGTATGACCATATATAGCACTTGAATAAGACATTACAAGGAGCTGGGATATGAGGATAAGGAGTTGGGATATGAGGACAAAGAGCTGGGATATGAGGACAAGGAGCTGGGATATGAGGACAAGGAGCTGGGATATGAGGACAAGGAGCTGGTATATGAGGACAAGGAGCTGGGATATGAGGACAAGAAGTTGGGATGTGAGGACAAGTAACTGGGATATGAGGAAGGTATGAAGGAACGCTTCTTAACCACTTATAGACCCTCTGGGATCAAATGTCGACCCAGCAAGAAACCAGAAGCAGGATTCAAGAGGCATTTACGCGTCCACTTACGAAACCTGGTCATCTTTCCTCAGTCGCGACGGCTTTGCTTACATTCATTTAACGAGGCTTGAAACTTCAGAATCCAAGGTTTATTTTGTTATTAACAACCTCGTGCTGCTTTAGAGCAACTAACCTGTTTAATAAACGTCAACATAGCCGCCATGACTATTGATAGATATTCAGGTTTCGTAAAATGTTGAGTAAACAATTGATTAAGCCTGGTCCAGGGCGATAAAGGTAGACAGGTACGAACACAAGATCAAGACACTGTAGAAGGCTCACTGACCCACACGAGGCAGCTCCTATTTGTAGCCACCCGGACATTCTTATGTCTAAACAACGCTTGAAACCACACTTGATCTACGCGAGGTTAAGGTTTACCTTCGGCTGACCTTTGGATACTCGTTATTATAGCAGCACCCCCGCGTTAGTTATGATGTGTGTGTGGTACTCCATGATGGTGGCGAGGTGTGGTGTAGCCTCACACCACCATGGTGGCGTGGTGTGGCGTAGCCTCACACCACCATGGTGGCGAGGTGTGGCGTAGCCTCACACCACCATGGTGGCGTGGTGTGGCGTAGCCTCACACCACCATGGTGGCGTGGTGTGGCGTAGCCTCACACCACCATGGTGGCGTGGTGTGGCGTAGCCTCACACCACCATGGTGGCGTGGTGTGGCGTAGCCTCACACCACCATGGTGGCGTGGTGTGGCGTAGCCTCACACCACCATGGTGGCGTGGTGTGGCGTAGCCTCACACCACCATGGTGGCGTGGTGTGGCGTAGCCTCACACCACCATGGTGGCGTGGTGTGGCGTAGCCTCACACCACCATGGCGGCATGGTGTGACATAACCTCACACCACCACCATGGCCTTACACTGATAATGGTTTAACTTGCCACTTGGTTACGCAAAAAGTTTCGCAATTAGATAACTGTGAAAACATTAATTTAAAGTGAGTGTGGGCTGAAAAGGTTGAGTGGAAAATAAACTGTATTTGTAGTCTTAACATCGAAGTTGAATTACCATTCCAGGCCGCCCGCAGCGTTCGGCTGACGCAACGCGAAAAATCCGGATTTAGACTTATTGTGGAGCAGTGAGTGCGTGTCCCTTCATTTATCATGTGTGTGCAGACTTATTTTTTTTTTTAGCTTGGAACAAATATGTCGTTCACTTATTTAGCTGTATCTAATGTGTGGTAAATACAGTCATAATTTGTTCATTCTGTGAGGGTGAGACTTTTAGAGCTATAAATGAATAAATCTGACTCATTACATACAGTGGAATAAATCAAATACTCTTGTTTTACTCAAATAAAAATCAAGAAATCAAATCATTCATATATCAATGATGCAATAACACGAGGTTATTGCAACAGATAATATTCGTGAATTCACACACAAGTTTGAATGAAAACATTAAAAGTCTGATTCGGAATGTGGTTCTCACCTGTTTCCTTGCGCCAGGCGATGGTGGGGTTGGGGAAGCCCTTCGCCAGGCAGTGGAGGGCTACGGTGCCCCCGAGGGCCACACTGGCACTGGCTGGCTCCACCACCCAGGCAGGGGGCACTGTGGAGGGGAGGGGGGAGGGGACACTGGGGTCAACACCCATTTGTTTACACTCAACTCATCAATTATATTGCATGATTTACACATTACAACTTGACACACTCAAGTTCATCACACACTTGGTCACTATTTTATCAAGACTCATCAATGTAATGTTGATAATTTGATAATATAATTTACCTGTTTTAAGAATCTTAGCAATATGGAAATGTATAGAAATTGAGGATATTAATTTTATCATAAATTACTAAATAGGTGATTAAGTAGAGGATGTGTATGATAGAGGCAGCGGACGGCAGGTGTGTGTGTATGATGGAGGCAGTGGACGGCTGGTGTGTGTGTATGATGGAGGCAGCGGACGGCAGGTGTGTGTGTATGATGGAGGCAGTGGACGGCTGGTGTGTGTGTATGATGGAGGCAGCGGACGGCTGGTGTGTGTGTATGATGGAGGCAGTGGACGGCAGGTGTGTGTGTATGATGGAGGCAGTGGACGGCAGGTGTGTGTGTATGATGGAGGCAGTGGACGGCAGGTGTGTGTGTATGATGGAGGCAGCGGACGGCAGGTGTGTGTGTATGATGGAGGCAGTGGACGGCAGGTGTGTGTATGATGGAGGCAGTGGACGGCAGGTGTGTGTGTATGATGGAGGCAGTGGACGGCTGGTGTGTGTGTATGATGGAGGCAGCGGACGGCTGGTGTGTGTGTATGATGGAGGCAGTGGACGACAGGTGTGTGTGTATGATGGAGGCAGTGGACGGCAGGTGTGTGTATGATGGAGGCAGCGGACGGCTGGTGTGTGTGTATGATGGAGGCAGTGGACGGCAGGTGTGTGTGTATGATAGAGGCAGTGGACGGCTGATGTGTGTGTATGATGGAGGCAGCGGATGGATGGTGGATGGATGGCGTGGACGTGCATGGATGAATGGCGTGGATATGCGTGGTGGATAACGTGGACATGCGTGGATGGAGGAGTTTGTGAGTAAAGAGAAAGTGGCATGGAAGACGTCTCAAACAAGCCCAGACCGTCTCTGTCTGTCTCTCGTGTCTGTCCTCACTCACCTGAGTGTCTCTCATGCTTGCCGGGGCAGAGCAAGATGGCTTCTCTACCAGCTGAAGTATGTCTTACGGCGTCCATATGCACCACAATCCCTCTGATTACCTCTGTCCAAGCACAACAACTTCCGCTGATTACGTGAGACGTCACCAACGATGCTTGAGACTTCTTACTGATTGACAATCAGTGACTTGGGAGACTTCCCCCCCCCCAACACCAAGCCTCTAAGGTGGGTTGTGTTCTCGCTAAACCAGTTAGCGGTCTCAGAGGTCACCCGATGTCAGCCTTATGGTCTGGTCAGCATGGTGATAACGGAGCCTCTTGCTCAGCCCCGCAGCGTCTGGGTGTGAGAGTCAAAGTCGTCGCTGGGACACTCAAGTCAAGGTCAGGAGTCGGAGGGGCGCTGAGTGATGTGGTACTACAAAAGTTTGATAAAGCTTTAGCTCGATGACTGCTAAAACGTGAGCTGATGTTCTAAGACTGTCCTTCACTCTTCGCCTCCCCGTCAGTGTGTTGTCGAGTCATGTGAGTTTGGACGGCGTTGGTGAGTCGCTGTTCCATCAGGTGAGCACACTTCATAGAGTCTCTGTCGGAGGGTATACAGCTCCTGTCTTCCTGTAGTACGGTACTCTTTCCTAGTCTACCTGGAGCAGGGTACACTGCCCTATCATCTGGAGACCAACGCTCTACCCGGACTCTGTCTCATTTGTCAGTTTTGTGTCAGTGTTGCCACAGTGGGCGTGAGGAGCGTGGGCGGCCTACCGCTGACGGTCAGGCGGGCGGTGGTGGTGATGGTGCGGGCGGCGTTGGTGGCAGCGCAAGTGTAGTTGCCGGTGTGGGCGGCGGTGGCTCGGTCGATCACCAGAATGGAGGTGAAGGCGTCCAGCTGGGAGGTACGGACGTCCAAACTCGGGTCGAGGGGGTGTCCGTCCTTGAGCCAGGCGTGTGCCAGAGGCTGGTCTCCCTCCTGCACCAGACAGGTGGCCTGCGCGCGCATCCCTGCCCGCGTCCCCGCCGCGAAGCTGAAGGGCGCCAGGCGCGGCGGCACTGCAACACACACACACACCGCACTCACGCACACAGAAGGTCAACAACTAGAGCAACTGTGAATTATAAGGCTGGTACAGGGCCCGCTCGCTGGGGTAGATGCTCCCGAGGAAAGAAGAACGACAAAAGCCAGATAAAATGGCGAAGAAAGAGACGCATAGGAAGATGAAGATACATGAAAACGGACAAGACGTAGCAGTAGAGGGCAGTGAGGTGGAATCTGATGGAATGAAGACAGAGCCAAAACAGGAAGAAAGAAGGCAAACAAGGAGGAAGTAAGACAAAGCAAGGGGAAGAACAGTCGCGGTAAGTGAGTGGCCTCGTCTGGGTTCTCTCGGAGACAAACCCAACACAGACACGTCAAGTTTACTCTGGAAAAAAGTGGAGAGAAGAAGCGTAGGTTTATGTGGGAGGTGGTGGTGGTGGTGACGCCCATGGTGTAGCGCCGCGGTGTGGGCGGGCGTGGGCGTACCATTGACGGCGAGGGCGGCGGAGAAGGTGGCCTCGGCCCAGTGGTTGGAGGCTCGGCAGGTGTACTCGCCCGAGTGAAGAGCAGAGAGGCTGTTGATCATGAGGGCGTTGGAGAACTGGTTCACGTTTGACACGGACACGCCGCCCATCTCCTGGAGGGGGCGGCCGTCCTTCTCCCAGGTGAAGGTGATGGGCGGGTCTCCCTTGCTGACGATGCAGGCAGCGCCCGCGCGGTCGCCCGCTTGCAACTTCTCCTCAAAATGGAACGGGAGAACGAGCGGCGCCACTGGAACACACCCGCCATCCGGCTGTCAGCCTGCTCTGTGTGGCTGCTTCCTGGCTCTGCCTGCCTCTACACCTTCTTCCTGGTTCTGCCTACCTATATACCTACATCCTAGCTTTGCCTACCTGTATACCTACATCCTAGCTTTGTCTACCTGTATACCTGCTTGTCTCTCTCTCATAGCTTATTACCCTCTGACTATACACCAGTTAGTTACATTCACATATCTGTCTTCTGCCAGGTAAGGGTACGTCTATTAAAGTAAACATACTAAACATATTAAAGCAAGGGTACTTTAATATGTTTAAAAGAAAGACTGCTGCCAAAATATACTTATATATATACAGATGAGGAATCACAATAACGTGGCTGAAGTATGTTGACCAGACCACACACTAGAAAGTGAAGGGACGACGACGTTTCGGTCCGTCCTGGACCATTTTCAAGTCGATTGTGTGGCTGGAATCAGCTGGAAGCTGATTCCAGCTTCTTTTCCACAATCGACTTGAGAATGGTCCAGGACGGACCGAAACGTCGTCGTCCCTTCACTTTCTAGTGTGTGGTCTAGTCAACTTATATATACTGTATATATATATATATGTGTGTGTGTGTGTGTGTGGTGTGTGTGTTGTTCCTAATAGCCAGAATGCACTACTTGGCCTACTATGCAAGGCACAGTTTGCCTAATAAGCCTAGTTTTCCTATGTTATATATATATAAAATTCTTGTGAAATGATAAAGCTTTCCATTATATTATATACTATTTTTTTAATTTGAGTTAAAACTAACAGAATATTATCAAATCTAACCAAACCGAACCTAACCTATCATAACCTAACCAAAACTAACACAAGTAAGTCAGTAATTCATGTTCATAATATAATAATATTAATTCAAATAAACCAATTGGAAGGAATTTTTGAAAATAACGAAAATCACTGTGCCTACTAGACAAATCCGGCCTATATCTAGGAGGCTTTTCCATTCACAGGGAATTTTGTCCCCATTGCTTCCGAGACACTTGGCACCTGAGGAAAGAGTGTCACCAGTGTATTGAAGGAACAATGGGTTCTAGGCTAATTGACACAACAAGAAACCCTAAAGCTTCCAGCTTCCTTTTTCCAGCGCCTCAGCGTGGCGATACAGAGGTGCACACTGCCTTCAAGGTTCCTGTCCGCCTTCTGAGGAGCTGGAAGAACTCGACAACCTATAATAATCAACTTTATACTTAATATGTAACTCCATTTTTGTAACAAAGTTTTAATAAAATATACACTTATATATATAAGAGAAGGGTGGTAGGAGAAGACAATATGTGCCCGAGGGAGCCCGACAAGGCTCTCCTGGAGGCTGCATATTCTCTTCTATATATAAATATATATATATGTATATATATATATACATATATATATACCCACAATCCCCTTTGTTCCCACCAACACAGGAGTCGAGGCTTAATTACGAACGTGGTACAGCTGGTTTCTATCGGTTATTTTTAACTAATTAACTAATGCAAGAGTCTCGTCACCAGCTGATTGATTTTAGGCCATCATTTACAGACCTAAGTTTATGGCTTCGAAGCAAGACCTTTGATGAAAAAATAGCGAGCTATGATTTCTAGATTAGTCTAAAAATAGAGGATTTTAGTTAATTGCTACTGGAAAGGATTAAATCATGTAAATTTAAAAAACACGATTAAATAATTCTTTTTCATTTGATGTATTTCTTAAGTTTATGGGGGTATATTTGATGTTTAAGGAACACCGGAGATCACCGTCCAAGATCTGTCATCATGGAGGGTGAGGTGCTAGAAGTCCCCATGTCCCATGATGCCCCAGGATGTCCTAGGATGCCCCAGAATGTCCTAGGCTGCTCCAGGATGCCCCAAGTTTCTCAGGATGCCCCAAGATGCCCCAAGACCTACCCATGACGCGGATGGTGAGGTGCTGGGTGTCTCCCTCCCCCAGGATGCCCCAGGCTGCCCCAGGATGCCCCAGGATGCCCTAGGATGCCCCAGGATGCCCCAGGATGCCCCAAGATGCCCCAGGCTGCCACAAGACTTACCCATGACACGGACGGTGAGGTGCTGGTTGTCTCCCTCCCCCAGGATACCCCAGGATGCCCCAGGCTGCCCCAGGATGTCCCAGGCTGCCCCAGGATGCCCCAGGCTGCCCCAGGATGTCCTAGGACCAACCCATGACGCGGACGGTGAGGTGCTGGGTTTCTCCCTCCCTGGATGCCCCAGGATGTCCCAGGATGCCCCAAGATGCCCCAGGATGTCCCAGGATGCCCTAGGATGCCCCAGGATGCCCCAGGCTGCCCCAGGATGCCCCAGGATGCCCTAGGATGCCCCAGGATGTCCCAGGATGCCCTAGGATGCCCCAAGATGCCCCAGGCTGCCCCAAGACCTACCCATGACACGGACGGTGAGGTGCTGGGTGTCGGAGAGGCCCTGCCTGGTGGAGGCGGTGCAGGAGTACTGGCCGTCGTCAGTGCCGCGGGTGACCTGCTCCACCACCAGCGTCCCGTTGGCGTGTACCCTCTGTCGGTGGGTGGTGGGCAGCCGGACCCCGTCTGTGGGGACCAACACCAGGTCAGTCGTGTGTGTACTGGGTCATACATGATCTTACATACACCCTGTATATAGAACCAACATCAGGTAGGTTATATATGTGTGTATACTAGGTCATACAATCATACATACCCTGTACATAGGCAGGTTATATGTGTGTGTGTGTGTGTGTGTGTGTGTGTGTGTGTACTGGGTCATACATGATCTTACATACACCCTGTATATAGAACCAACATCAGGTAGGTTATATATGTGTGTATACTGGGTCATACAATAATACATACCCTGTACATAGGCAGGTTATATGTGTGTGTGTGTGTACTGGGTCATACAATCATACACACCCTGTACAGGGCAGATTATATGTGTGTGTGTGTGTACTGGGTCATACATGATCTTACATACACCCTGTATGTAGAACCAACATCAGCCAGGTTATATAGGTGTGTGTACTGGGTCATACAATAATACATACCCTGTACATAGGCAGGTTATATGTGTGTGTGTGTGTACTGGGTCATACATGCTCTTACATACACCCTGTATATAGAACCAACATCAGGTAGGTTATATATGTGGGTATACTAGGTCATACAATCATACACACCCTGTACAGGGCAGGTTATATATGTATGTGTATATATACTGCCTCATACATACACTCAGGAGTTACGAGCCTTAATACGGATGGGATTTCATGTAAAAATATTGTTCCATTAATTGCATTGTGCGTACACAACTCTGCATTATGACCGTCCTAAAATATTTGCACTGTCAATGTGTAGCCAATTACCTCTATGTTTAAGCCGACCAATATATTATGTTTTCGAGCTGGAGATACTAAGCCATTTTAGGCGATATAATGTAAGATATGGTTACGTTAATATTATATATATCTTTTTATATTATCGTCTATTGAGCCTTTCTTAGCAAAGGCTAAATTGATTAATACAATCCTCTTGACTTTTGAAATTAAAAACAATTATACTTAATTTTCTCAGCTTAATCAGTGATCAAGGTCTGATTAGACTAAATTGTACAGAACGATATACAAGACAAATAGTCATTTAAATTCTGATTTTATTGTGTGTGTGTGTATTCAATTTTTTATTGTGTGTGTATTAAATATGACTTTATTGAGCGTGTATTCAATATTTTATTGTGTGTCTGTATTCAATATTTTATTGTGTGTGTGTATTCAATATTTTATTGTGTGTATTAAATATGACTTTATTGTGTATTAAATATGACTAATGTGCGTGTATTAAATATGTCTTTAGTGTGTGTGTGTATTAAATATGACTTTAGTGTATGCATAAAATTTGACTTTATTTGTGTCACTAAATATGACTTTATTGTGTGTTTTAAATATGACTTTATTTCTGATACTAAATACGACTTTATTTGTGTAATTAAAGTTTTTCTTTATTTATTTAAATAAAAGAAAACACAGTTTAAAGTATCTTTGAACATACAAGTTAGTCGACCTGGAATATTTCTCAAAACAACTTAAAACACGTCGTTCAACACAGTCTTAAATCCAGTACTCCGGAAATACTTTAAGTCAGTGCCAAGGAGTTGCGAGAAAGATGGTTATTAATGATAATAATAATTAATAATAATTGCTATATGAAGACTCTTGGTTTAAAACCTCAATATTGCCAGAAGAGCCTTATTGATATAATGCCACCTGTCGAATACCATAATGGAAAAGCAGCCTTTTCGTTTCAAAAGACTGAAATGAGTCTGTAGGTCTGTAATTCCCCTGTGTTTTGTAGTTCACCCTGTGGCCTGTAGTACTCCTGTAGTTTATAGTCCCCCCTCTGTAGTCTGTAGTCCCTTTGTAGCCTGTAGTCCCCATATGACCTGTAATAAACACTGACATATTTTCTGGCGTCTGTGAACTTCTTCCTTTCACACACACACACACACACACACACACACACACACACACACACACACACACACACACACACACACACACACACAGCCCGATAGGCTCAGGAACCCGTACACCTGTTGATTGACGGTTGAGAGGCGGGACCAAAGAGCCAGAGCTCAACCCCCGCAAGCACAATTAGGTGAGTACAATTAGGTGAGCACACACACACACACATATACAAAAGGTGGCAAAAGTTACGCTGGCAAAAGTTAGAACATCATTCAGAAACCTAAGTAAGGAGGCATTTAGGGCGCATTACACTGCCTACGTGAGGCCAGTCTTTGAGTATGCCGCCTCATCAGGGAGTCCCCATCTGAAGAAGCACATAAGGAAACTGGAAAAGGTTCAGAAGTTTGCAACGAGACTCGTCCCAGAGTTACGAGGGATGGGGTATGAAGAGCGCCTGAGGGAACTGTGCCTTATGACACTAGAAAGAAGAAGGGAGAGGGGGGGATATAACAGGAACGTATAAAATACTCAGGGGGATTGACAGAGTGAACATAGACGAAATGTTCACACAGAATAGTAACAGAACGAGGGGACATGGGTGGAAGCTGGAAACACAGATGAGTCACAGAGATGTTTGGAAGTTTTCTTTTAGTGTGAGAGTAGTGGAAAAATGGAATGCACTTAAGGAGCAGGTTGTGGAAGCAAATTCTATACATAATTTTAAAACTAGGTATGATAGGGAAATGGGACCGGAGTCATTGCTGTAAATAACAGATGGCTCGAAAGGCGGGATCCAAGAGTCAATGCTCGATCCTGCAGACGAAAATTGGTGAGTACAAATAGGTGAGTATACACACACGCGCGCGCACACACAAACAAACATTCATTAAAAAAATGACATACAGGCAAATAAATCATAAATTTCAGCAAATACAAAATACTCTCTTTCCCCAGCATCAAAATAACATAAAACATTAATTCAATACTGAAGCCATAATTATATCCATCATATCCGATGTTTTTTTTTCAATTTAAAACAGAAAAACATATTCTGCTTTGATCAAGATATTAATAAAAAAATTTACGTCTAAAAACTATCAAATAAAATATAAAATTGTTACTGCTAAAAATTAATTATTCAGTGATAATATATATTTTTTAATCTAAGAATTTTTATTAATTATATGTATAAGCTTTGTAAAAAATGTAAAGTGAATAATTGTTAACAGAGAGAGAGTAGGGTCACACTTGAGGAGGTTCACACTTGAGAAGGTTCACACTTGAGGAGGTTCACACTTAACAAGGCTCACACTTGAGAAGGCTCACACTTAACAAGGCTCACACTTAACAAGGCTCACACTTGAGAAGGTTCACACTTGCGCAGGCTCACACTTGAGAAGGCTCACACTTAACAAGGTTCACACTTGAGAAGGTTCACACTTGAGAAGGTTCACACTTGAGCAGGCTCCCAGACACAGCTCCTGGCGGTGAATTTTCTCAGAACAATAATCCCTTTCGAAGCATGTTGAATTGTTCACAAACGGTATCCAGTGACCTGTTAGTTTGTAATCCCACTGTGTCCTAATCCCACTAATCCTCCGTGGCCTGTATAAGCCCTCCGTGGCATCTAATCCCCCTGCTGCGGCCTGTAATCCTCCTGTGGGTTGTAATCCCTCTGTGACCAGTAATCCAGCGTTACAATTCACTTGTGCACAGGGTAGCCTGGTCGTACCTTTCTTCCAGGTGACCTTGTGCACGGGGGTGGCCGCACGTACCTTTCTTCCAGGTGATCTTGTGCACGGGGTGGCCGGACACGGGGCACGTGACGAGGAAGGTCTCCCCGGCCACGGCCGACACCTGGCCCATGGGCCGCACGTGCGGCGGGCCGTACACGTTGAGGCGTGCCGAGTGCACCACGCTGCCGGCGCTGTTCTCAGCCGTGCACCTGTACGTGCCGCCGTCCGTCACGTGCACCGTGCTGATGTTGACGTGGCTGATCACCTCCCCGTGCGCTGACACGTACTGGCCCTTCACGTACCTGTAATATATACCGTAATTATGGCCTCTTGTAGCGTGTACCTGCACCAGGAGAGAGAGAGAGAGAGAGAGAGAGAGAGAGAGAGAGAGAGAGAGAGAGAGAGAGAGAGAGAGAGAGAGAGAGAGAGAGAGAGAGAGAGAGAGAGAGAGAGAGAGAGAGAGAGAGAGAGAGAAAGAGAGAGAGAGAGAGAGCAGCACACCAAACACGCTGTAATTACCTAATTTCCTCCCCAGATGGCGACTATGCAGGATAAACTCCGGCCTGTTTCCTACCCACCGGATTTTCAATTTGACGCTCTATTTACATATTTCGTATCGTGAGCAGCAGCACACCCACTTGTGTGAAGCTCAGCTGTTATCAGCAAGTGCTCTCCCACACTTCTCTCTGTCTATGTCTGTGTGTCTCTGTCTCTCTCTGTCTCTGTGTCTCTCTGTATGTCCCTTTGTGTCTGACTCAATGTCCCTCTGCCTCTGCCTCTCTCTGTCTCTGTCCCTTTGTTTCTCTCTGTCTCTATGTTTTTCTGTCTCTCTCTCTCTCTGCCTGTCTCTATGTCTCTCTGTCTGTCTCTCTGTGTCTGTCTCTCTGTCTCTCAGTCTTTGTCTCTCGTGTCCACGTTTGGGTAAAATATATGAAGCGTCTCTACACTCGAAATACATTTCACATCTAACATTTAATTTATAGTTATCCAAGCGGAAAGCTGATTACAAATTAATATAACATTTTCATCAGCCAAATGTGTTTTATCAATTAGTGACTCATATATATATATATATATATATATATATATATATATATATATATATATATATATATATATATATATATATATATATAGGCAGGGAGAGAGAGGTAGAGTGAAGTGAGGTACAGAGACAAACATATGAATGGGATTAGGTGGATATAAATAAGTGCTGCATCATATGAGCCAATTGGCCCATACGTGGATATTAATAGCATAAGATAGTAGATATTAACAATGAATTAGTGAGACAAATGAGTATCAATGATCCTACTCAAATCGCCCTATAACTGATCAATCAAAAATGGATCTAAATTATACAAACCATATAGTTGTTTCCAATAAATTATACAAACTAAATTATAAAAACCATATAATTTTGGCCGAATTTCGGCCAAAGAATGTGCTATGTTTAGCAGCAGCCCTCGAAGTGATAATTGTGTCATTTATAAAATACCTTGTAAAGACTGTAATAGATTCTATGTTGGCCAAACATCTAAAGATTTGAAATGTAGAATTTCGCAACATAAATACACTGTAAGACATGGCCAATTGTCTAATGTTTTGTTTGTCCATTTGTCAGAAAATTCTCACCAAATTGATTAAAAGATGGCTTCTTCAATAACGGATTGTAAGAGCACTTTCAATAGGAACATTATTGAATCTGCTTTAATACAGATTACAAAATCATGTATTTTGAACATTAGCAGTGGTTTATATAATTTAGATATATTTTTGATTGATCAGTTAAAGGGCGATTCCTCCGAGGCTAAGGGTCCCCCTTCTTCCAGCCAGAGGTGGTAGTCCCTTCCATATATATATATAAGACATATATATTAACATATATAATAACAGACCACGAAGGAAGGACTAAGAGAGGAAATTCCTTATTTTAGTATTTAATAATACATCTTCAGAAGGATGCTTCTGAAGATGTATTATTAAATACGAAAGTACTTCTAGAATTTCCTGTCTTAGTCCTTCCTTATATAGTCATTAGTCTAGACCATCAGTAGTCACAACGGAAGTTGTGTCAGAAAACAGTAAATGTGTAACATTCCCGATGAAACGTTATCACTATGGTCAGGGGGCGGGGCTTGTGAGGTGACGATGACCAACCAGCGTGATCACGTGACGGCCTAATGTAAACAATAATCCACCAATCACCTTTCAGCACCGATTACGCCCCGCCTACTGACACGCAACCCGCGAAAAACTGGGGAATACTCCGAGTAAACTTAATTCCTGAAATATTCTCGAGGTCATAGTAGTCTTTTAGGGTGAAAACTACAGTAGTTAATGACCAAATTCTTGGGAGCGACATTGCTAAGCTCTTTCTGTTACGCGCAGAATATTTGAAGTGGTTCAATGAACTCGAACCCTCGTCCCTGAACTCCCCTATACACTTGTGATTTCATTATGCTTTGTATTTAAACATATATTTCCCTCGGAACTCCATGGGAAATGTTCCAGAATTGATCTGAAGAACTATATAACAAGGGCTTTGTACCTGAGGCTTCAAATATAAATTATTCTTCTAACGAGGTGTTCTTCACTAAACTGTAATGAACAAAATACGTTTTGTATAGTAAACTCGCACTTCGAATGTGGGATGAACCATTGAACTCATCATAACAAAGGAGAACAAAGTCTTGAAGAACCAGAACAAAGCTTTGCAATATATATATATATATATATATATATATATATATATATATATATATATATATATATATATATATATATATATATAACAGGACAAGTGAACATGCTTCGGGAGAAGCCGCGAGACGCCCAACACACCATCAATAACAGCTCCAGGCCAGACGGTCTATAGGCAGCTCCTCATTTGCATACTGCTGGGAAAACATGCCTGGAGAGATTGTAATGGAAACTGTATGGAACGGGAAGATTGTGTGTGAGCGAGAGAGAGAGAGAGAGAGAGAGAGAGAGAGAGAGAGAGAGAGAGAGAGAGAGAGAGAGAGAGAGAGAGAGAGAGAGAGAGAGAGAGAGAGAGAGAGAGAGAGAGAGAGAGAGAGAGAGAGAGAGAGAGAGAGAGAGAGAGAGAGAGAGAGAGAGAGAGAGAGAGAGAGAGAGAGAGAGACCAAAATGCGCAAAAGAAGACTGCAAATAAATACAGTTACACTGTGAAAACAACGCAAAAACACTGGCATAACAACAACAGGAGCTGAGGTACCCAAGGATATACCAATAGACAAGATATACCAAGACATACCACAAGACAGATAAGACAAGAGAGCCTGGAGAATATATATATATATATTTTTATTAATACATTAGGTACATCTGCATTTGTGCAGCTACCCTAGACTATGTGAAAGGGGAGTACAGTGTGTGTCAAAAGGCTAGCTACGTGGTGCTAAAAAATTCCCATCACACAGGATGGTTAGTCGTACAGAGGCATGTGATAAGTAGTCTGCACTGGCAGACTCCGGGTGTCTGGGTTCATTATGAGGATATCATCAACACAAGAGTAAGGCAGCAGTGATACTAAAAGTCCCCATGTGAGGACTTCCAGTATCACTGCTTTAGTATGTAGTATGGAGATTGTAAAAGTGAAAAATGTGACAGTGTCAGACCACGAAGAAAGAATTGAAACAGGAATTTCCTTAAGTACTTTCGTGTTAAATAATACATCTTCAGAAGGATGGATTTACAAGTACGTAGATTTGGACACATATAGGCAGGAAAGAGGTGAAGTGAAGTGAGGTACAATGATAAATAAATGAAGGAAATTGGGTGGATATAAATAGGCGTTGCATCCTATGGGCCAATAGACCCATATGTTGATATTAATATCATAAGATAATGAATATTAACACGGTATTAGTGAGACAAATGTGAATCAATGATCTTACTCAAATCGCCCTTTAACTGGTCAATCAAAAATAGATCTAAATTATACAAACAACTGCTAATGTTCAAATTACAAAATGTTGTAATCTGTATTAAAGCGGATTCAATTATGTTCCTATTGAAAGTACTTTTACAATTCGTTATTGAAGAGGCCATCTCCCAATCAATTTGGTGAGAATTTTGTGACAAATTAACCAAACATTAGACAATTGGCCATGTCTTACAGAGTATTAACGTTGCGAAATTCTATATTTCAAATCTTTAGATGTTTGCCCAACATAGAACCTATTACAGTCTTTACAAAAAAAAAAAGTTATGACACAATTATCACTACGAGGATTTATCAAATGTTGATGATTGATAATGAGGATTTATCAAATGTTGATGATTGATGAGGAAACGTTTTGATTTCTAACTAATAGTTTTCCAATAGTATTTTCGCAATTAAACAATACACGTATATCAAAACGTTTCAAAGCCTTGGCCATATTTTCAACTCCAGAAAAATATGGTAAACATTACAAATTCTTTGGGCGAATTTTCTCACTGCATATATTATTATAATATGTTAATAATTTTAATAAACATTTTATAATAATATGTGCACGCACGCGAACACGCACATACACATGCACACATACACACTAAGGGGCCTGACAGCTGAGTGGACAGCGCTTTGGAAACAAATGGGCTGTGTTTTTCACCCTGATGCCCCTGTTACCTAGCAGTAAATAGGTACCTGGGAGTTAGACAGCAGTTACGGGCTCCTTCCTGTGTGTGTGTGAGGAAGGAAAAAATAAAAAATAATAAGTTGATTGATTGACAATTGAGAGGCGGGCCGAAGGAGCCAGAGCCCAACCCCCGCACACACACACACACACACACCACACACACACACACACACACACACACACACACACACACACACACACACACACACACACACTAAAGGCGGTAATTAAATATGGTCACGCTCCACCACCATACTGCGATAATTGACTCCAAACCCATTAATGGAAGATGAACCAAAGGCGGTCAGGATGTGAACCCTGTTGTGTTGGTGAGGTAGGTCAGCGGTGGTGGTGATTGTGGTGGTGGTGGTGGTGGTGGTGGGTGGTTGGTGGTGGGTGATGGTGGTGGTGGTGGTGGTGGGTGGTTGGTGGTGGGTGATGGTGGTGGTAGTGGTGGGTGATGGTTGTGGTTGTGGTGGGTGGGTGGGCGGGTGATGGTGGTTGGCAGGGAAAGCTCAGTGCATGGTTGCAAGCCAAGACACACAGTTGCATCAGAACAACCCACAATATCCGCCCTTCCCTACCACAACCACACCAACCCCATCATCAGTTACTAATTTACATCACCCTATTCTCTACTTCGTTACAAACGAGGATAAATGAGTTAACTACAACATCCACTCACAACAAACATCTCAGCCTAAAGCACACCATCAACTTGGAAGACATTGCTTTCTCTCCTTAACCTTAGAGGTCACAAGCAATGCTATACACACAAGAAGGAAGTGATGTGGTGGAGGCTGACTCCATACACAGTTTCAAGTGTAGATATGATAGAGCCCAATAGGCTCAGGAACCTGTACACACCAGTTGATTGACAGTTGAGAGGCGGGACTAAAGAGCCAGAGCCCAACCCCCGCAAGCACAATTCGGTGAGTACAATTAGGCGAGTACATTTTAACACCCCCAAGGAACCCAGCGTCCCGGTGTTATTAACAAAAACTTATTTTTAACACGTGATTAAGGTTGTAATTGACGAGTGTGTTAAGTCTGCAGCTGGTTCCCTCAGCTGGGATGATTGGTGTTATTAATATATCCAAAGATGATGGTTTTCTCATTAAGACGTCTCCACCAATCAGACTCGAGTGTCCAGAAGCCACGAGAGGGGGCGGAGCCGCAAGTTATTTGGCTTAATTGGTCAGTAATGTGAGTGATGGGTAAGTTAGAGAGTGTAGTTAGTGCGTTCTCAGGTTAAGGGTCTATAGTCAGGGAGAGGGGATGACGGTCGACATGCTTCTACTCTCATGGTTCGACTCCCTCATGCGGATTAATAAACTTCTAATTAAATCTGGAATTACAGAGTTATTCACGCCCTGGCACTTCAATAAAGAGGAATGTCCTTTATGAACTGATTCAATAACCAAATAACAAGAGCATATGGATAGCTTAGTGGTTTATGGAAACATTATAAAACTTAAATTACCAGACTGTCGATTAAGGCAGCGTCTGGGATGCTCTCGGACGTAGGTTCGAATCCTCGTCATGGCCCTTGGGGATTTGTGCTTTAAGCTCCCAGGTCTAAGGTGTTAGCCAATTATTTATCCAAAGGCTTACTCTGACAAATCACTTATTTGTCAAAGTACACTTACACTTACTTGAACCTTAAAATGTAAGTAGACAAAGCTCACATTTACATCATGTGTCGAGCTAAAACAAAGGGGAGTTATTTCACCCGTCACACACACATCCACTTTGGATTCAATAATTACATGTTATCTCCCTTTGAAGAACATTATCCTCGAGACATTGTCAGAATATATGAGTGTGATTAATTGTTTTAATTGCGACGAGAGTCTATTGTAAGGGTTATCGTACAGGTGTTAACTGGTCTGGTAACGAGTATCGTATATTGTGACGGTCCGCAATGCGGTAATTTTTGTATTCGGGAATGGTTCGAGTCACGCAGGGAAGGGTTAGGCCTGGGGGTGTATGTTTACAGGGTGACTGAGGATATTTGCACCAGGTGGTGGGTGGTGTAGGTGGATGGTGGTGGTGGTGGTGGTGGTGGTGGTGGTGGTGGTGTAGGTGGATGGTGGTGGTGGTGTAGGTGGATGGTGGTGGTGGTGGTGGTGGTGGTGGATGGTGGTGTGGGTGGTGGTAGGTGGTGGTTGATTGTAGTTGTGTTGGTAGGTGGTTATGGTGGTACTGGTAGGTTGTGGTGGTGGTGCTGGTGAGTTGTGGTGGTTACTTATGGTGATGGTGGTGGTGGATTGTGGTGGTGATGGTGGGTTGTTGTGGTGATGGTGGGTTGTGGTGGTGCTGCTGGTAGACAGTCTTTGTGCTCGTAGTGGTGCGGGTTGGTGGTGTTGGTGGGTAGTTATGGTGGTGGTGGAGAGTAGTTCTGGTGGGCGTTAGTAGCACCAGTGGGCGGTGGTGGTGGTGCAGGAGGTGCTTATAGAGAGATGATGATGATGGTGGTGGTGGGGTGGTGGCACCGGTGCCAACGACCCCAACACCGTCGTCAGCGCCACCAGTGCCACTGTCTGGCGGCCTGCAACACCCATCTTCACAGTGTTGCAACCACCGCTCTCTTGCAATTCTGTCGACTCACCTCAATATACGTTCCTTTTATTATCAAATCCATCAATCCATAAGAAAAGCGACATATCAGTAACGACAAAAAGCACTATAATATTAACGCTTGCCACGCCTCAGCCTCGATAGGTTAAGTGGGTTGTTTGGGTTTGTACGCTAAATACAACAAGCATTGGCTCAAACACACAAAAATATATGTAAATTACTATCAAATCACACCTCCGAGCCTTGAACGCCGGACCATACAGGCCGGGACCTACACCGTCGCTACAAAGACACTCCTCTAAAACTTTACTATACAAATCAGCTTCAAATTCCACTCACAGTCTTACTGAACACATTCCCAAACTAGGCCCTAAAACCCTCCCCTGAAAATAAAACAAAATATTAACTCTGATGGAGTTGTGTTTGGCAAGCAATTAAGAGATTCAGTGTTGCCGGAGCCCCGAGAGGGAGAGAGGGAGTCGGGCCAGAGATTATTTCATAATTCAAATGGACGGCTGGAATGGACTCCATTGAGAGCTTATACGCACTAAGTCTCCGCTCTCTAAAAGCCACCAGTTGGAAACACTGCCTCATAATTGATATTAATTCCCGAAATGGTTCAATAGATGAAGTTCATACTTCATCATAATACATATTACGATGAAGTACGCCAGCTGATGAACAACCAGTTCATCAGAGTTGTTCATGATGAACTGTACTCGGCTAGTACATAGCCGGACGATCTATTCAACAACTTACACGCCGCATTTTGTCCAACGCCACCCCCCCCCCCCCCACGCGTTGGACTTATCGGGTTAGGTGGGTTGCTTGGGATTGTGCGTTTCTGTGTTATCAATTACATTTGTTACGGAGCGGCAAATGTTAACCCCAAATTCATACATTAAAAAAAAGGGCAAATCTAGTTTAGTTCAGTAATTAATTTTGATACAATATTCGAGATTTATGCTAGAAACGAAAAATATTTTTTTTTTGTGTGTGTAATATTTTAATTAAAATTAAAATACAACAGATATAAAATAATTAATCAATCGGTATACTCACCCGACACCTGTGGACATGAGCGCTGCTCTTCAACTAACAAATATTTCGTAAACCAGCTTATGAGTCTACCTCATACCTGGGTGTACCACCTGGAGAGTCTACCTCACACCTGGGTGTACCAGCTGGTGACTCTACCTCACACCTGGGTGTACCACCTGGAGAGTCTACCTCACACCTGGGTGTACCACCTGGAGAGTCTACCTCACACCTGGGTGTACCACCTGGAGAGTCTACCTCACACCTGGGTGTACCACCTGGAGAGTCTACCTCACACCTGGGTGTACCACCTGGAGAGTCTACCTCACACCTGGGTGTACCACCTGGAGAGTCTACCTCATACCTGGGTGTACTAGCTGGTGAGTCTACCTCACACCTGGGTGTACCAGCTGGCGAGTCTACCTCACACCTGGGTATACCACCTGGACAGTCTACCTCACACCTGTGGGACAAGACTCACCTGTGGGATGGTGGGATGGGGAAGCCGTCCAACACCCAGGTAATGTGGGGTGTGGGGGTGCCCGTGGCTATACACTTGAGGGAGACAGCTGGTCCTGGCTGCAGCGTCTGCTCGATGAAGCGGTACACCAGCTGTGGTGCCGCAGCTGGTGTCCATGGTAGAGATGAAGGGGTGAAAACAGTATCAATAAAATATACATTTTAAGCGAGTAATTTAGTCATATATATTATCATTAAACCACAACAGAATTAAGACTATTATTAATTATCTTTTGGATATTTTCCATTCTACGGACATGTCTTCTACCATCTGGAGGGTCAAGAAACACTAGGTCACTTAATCTTGCCATTGTTAATGTTCTAGGTTTCTTAAGCAATTTAACATCTTGAGGAGTACACTGTGTTGTACTAATAACAGTACACTTCTGAAGTACACACCGGGAGATTCTCATACCTTCACTTGAGCACCACTAATGTATTAAGTAGCAATCAGTTCCGTCACCCTATGTGACAAAATTTCATTCATTTACTGCATCAAGGAATCGAACTCGGTAATATAAATGATCAGCTGCCATTTAATTGCTCCTGGAAAGCTGGAAAGGTGAAACTCAACCAGTTGGCTAGCAATTGTGTGTGTGTGTGTGTGTGTGTGTGTGTGTGTGTGTGTGTGTGTGTGTGTGTGTGTGTGTGTGTGTGGTGTGTGTGTGTGTGTGCGTGTGTGTGCGCGCGAGCGCGTGCAATCTCCTCTCCTCCCACCCAGCAATATCTCTTTCCGCCTATTCCTCTTATAACCATGGACCTGTCCACCGCTCCATCTTGCTTTGATGTTTCCCAAGAGGACAATCTATTGGACTCTTGGATCACCTACGCGAGGGAGAGAGAGAGAGAGAGAGAGAGAGAGAGAGAGAGAGAGAGAGAGAGAGAGAGAGAGAGAGAGAGAGAGAGAGAGAGAGAGAGAGAGAGAGAGAGAGAGAGAGAGAGAGAGAGATAGCTTTAACCTCACCCAGGAGCTGCATGCTCTTACCAAACTGTGGCACTTTAGGTCCATCCTTTAAACTGGTGAAGACTTTATCTCCGTCTTAGCTCCGTCTCCAAGTCTCCTGAGTCTTGCTTTTTATTGCTTCTCCACGACCACCTCTCTCCTGGGGGTTTATCTCCTTATGTCGGTCTCTTTCTTAGTTTCAAGTCTATGTATATGAACGAGAATCTTATGCCAAGTCTCTCTCTTTCTCTCTCTCTCTCTCTTTCTCTCTCTCTGTATTCCGGAAAGGTTTCTCATGCGACTTGGAGGATCTTGGACAAGAGGTCCTGTAGTCCCCGGTCGTGTATCTCAAGGAGTTAGGTACGTGTCACTGTGTCTTTCTGAGTGTGTGTGTGTGTGTCTTCCGTGTGTGTCAGGTCGACACATCGTCGACCTGTATCACCAGGAAGGTCCCTTGGTGCCAGAGCTGTTCCATACATCAATGATTTTGTAGTTAATATTGGATTCTAGTTGCATTTGAGGGGGAGGAATCCTGTGCCTTAATCTCTTCCTCAGGCGATGCCTCGTGGGATTATTTCGCTGAATCTGTTCATGTTATCTGTCGGTGAATCTGTCCACCTGGGGGGAATCTTTCCGGGATATCTTTTTTTTATGAATCTTTAGAGGACTTTTCTAGTTTTCTTGTCCCTCTCTGACCACAGCTGTTCCTCTTAGCCTGTCTGTCTTAAGTTCCTGTTCCTCTTAACCTGTTCTTGCCTCTCTTAGGTCACACATGTTGGGCACTTTTCCATTCAACCCCCCCTCCCCCCCTCCCATTCCCCAATCCCTCATTCCTTTTACGTGTCTCTTTCATTCGTCATGTTCTTTTCTTCCCCTTCCTTCCCTTATCACAATCCTCTATTCATTTTCCCCTCTCGTCTCTCTACCCTTTTGCCTTCTTCTCTCAGCCCTTACCCTCTCCTTCCCTCTCCCCTCGTTACCTCTCCCCTAAGCCTTCCTTGCCTTAACCTGATTGACACTCATTGGGACTACAGTGTGAGTGAGTGAGTGAGTGAGTGAGTGAGTGAGTGAGTGAGTGAGTGAGTGAGTGAGTGAGTGAGTGAGTGAGTCAGTCAGTGTTTGAGGGAGTGAGTGAGTGAGTGAGTGAGTGAGTGAGTGAGTGAGTGAGTGAGTGAGTGAGTGAGTGAGTGAGTGAGTGAGTGAGTGAGTGAGTGAATGAGTGCGTGGTGCTGGCGGCGTTTTAAGAGTTCTCTTAAGAAAGAATCAACATTTTCCACCAGTACTCAGCGACTCCAAGTGTACGTGTTCCCGAGTTAAAATGTTGGTGGAGTGGGCGAATGTCTTTGTCCAGCTGTGTCCTTGTTCTTTGTCCAGCTGTGTCCTTGTTCTTTGTGCAGCTGTGTCCTTGTTCTTTGTCCAGCTGTGTCCTTGTTCTTTGTCCAGCTGTGTCCTTGTTCTTTGTGCAGCTGTGTCCTTGTTCTTTCATCCCGGCTGTCTTTGTTCTTTGCTTTACCTCGAACTTTCTCTCTTTTTCACGTTTCTCTTGTTTAACCCCAATTTTATTGTGGTCTCTTCTTGTCTGTCTGCTTATTCCTTTCCTTCTCTGTCTGTCTGTCTGTCTGTCTGTCTGTCTGTCTGTCTGTCTGTCTGTCTGTCTGTCTGTCTGTCTGTCTGTCTGTCTGTCTGTCTGTCTCTCTCTCTCTCTCTCTCTCTCTCTCAATTTACTGGTAGAGTAAGAAGTTTTGGGAGCGTTTGGAGTGGTTGGTGAGGCTAGAGGCTGTTTGATGATTTATATAGAGGCGTTGTTGGCTATATATATAATAGTGAGTTGCGTATACTGACCTCCGAGCGTGACGTAGGCCTGGGCGTGGGCGTAGTCCTGCGCGTAGGTGGCTGCGCACTGGTAGACGCCGGCGTCGGAGGCGTGAACTGGTGACACATGTAGTGACTCCCGCGGCCTGATGGTGACCCGCCCCCCTGACCTGGTGACGGGGGAGGGGGTTAGTACTGATTGTGACCCGCCCCCTGACCTGGTGAGGGGGGGGGGGGTTAGTACTGGTGGTGACCCGCCCCCCTGACCTGGTGACGGGGGAGGAGGGGGGTGGGGGTTACTACTGATGGTGACTCGCCCCCCTGACCTGGTGACGGGGGAGGAGGGGGTTAGTACTGATGGTGACCCGCCCCCTGACCTGGTGAGGGGGGGGGGGTTAGTACTGGTGGTGACCCGCCCCCCTGACCTGGTGACGGGGGAGGGGGGTTGGGGTTAGTACTGGTGGTGACCCGCCCCCCTGACCTGGTGAGGGGGGAGGGGGTTAGTACTGATGGTGACCCGCCCCCTGACCTGGTGACCTGGTGGGGGGGGGAGGAGGGGGGGTTAGTACTGGTGGTGACCCGCCCCCTGACCTGGGGAGGGGGGGGGGTTAGTACTGATGGTGACCCGCCCCCCTGACCTGGTGAGGGGGGAGGGGGGGAGGGGTTAGTACTGGTGGTGACCCGCTCCCCTGACCTGGTGAGGGGGGAGGGGGTTAGTACTGATGGTGACCCGCCCCCTGACCTGGTGAGGGGGGAGGGGGGTTGGGGTTAGTACTGGTGGTGACCCGCCCCCCTGACCTGGTGAGGGGGGAGGGGGTTAGTACTGGTGGTGACCCGCCCCCTGACCTGGTGAGGGGGGAGGGGGATGGGGGTTAGTACTGGTGGTGGCCCGCCACCCTGACCTGGTGAGGGGGGAGGGGGTTAGTACTGGTGGTGACCCGCCCCCCTGACCTGGTGAGGGGGGAGGGTGTTAGTACTGATGGTGACCTGCCCCCCTGACCTGGTGAGGGGGGAGGGGGGTGGGGGTTAGTACTGATGGTGACCCGCCCCCCTGACCTGGTGAGGGGGGAGGGGGGTGGGTTAGTACTGGTGGTGACCCGCCCCCCTGACCTGGTGAGGGGGGGAGGGGGTGGGTTAGTACTGGTGGTGACCCGCCCCCCTGACCTGGTGAGGGGGGAGGGGGTTAGTACTGATGGTGACCCGCCCCCCTGACCTGGTGACGGGGGAGGGGGGAGGGTTAGTACTGGTGGTGACCCGCCCCCCCTGACCTGGTGAGGGGGAGGGGGGAGGGGGTTAGTACTGGTGGTGACCCGCCCCCCTGACCTGGTGAGGGGGGAGGGGGGGTGGGGGTTAGTACTGGTGGTGACCCGCCCCCCTGACCTGGTGAGGGGGGGGGGGGGTTAGTACTGATGGTGACCCGCCCCCCTGACCTGGTGAGGGGGGAGGGGGTTAGTACTGATGGTGACCCGCCCCCCTGACCTGGTGAGGGGGGGAGGGGAGGGTTAGTACTGGTGGTGACCCGCCCCCCTGACCTGGTGAGGGGGGGAGTGGGGGTTAGTACTGATGGTGACCCGCCCCCCTGACCTGGTGAGGGGGGGAGGGGAGGGTTAGTACTGGTGGTGACCCGCCCCCCTGACCTGGTGAGGGGGGAGGGGGTTTGTACTGATGGTGACCCGCCCCCCCTGACCTGGTGAGGAGGGAGAGGGAGTGGGGGTTAGTACTGGTGGTGACCCGCCCCCCTGACCTGGTGAGGGGGGAGGGGGAGTGGGGGTTAGTACTGGTGGTGACCCGCCCCCTTGACCTGGTGAGGGGGGAGGGGGGTGGGGGTTAGTACTGGTGGTGACTCACCTCAGCACCACCTGGGGACTCACCTCAGCACCACCTGGGGACTCACCTCAGCACCACCTGGGGACTCACCTCAGCACCACCTGGGGACTCACCTCAGCACCACCTGGGGACTCACCTCAGCACCACCTGGGGACTCACCTCAGCACCACCTGGGACTCACCTCAGCACCACCTGGGGGACTCACCTCAGCACCACCCTGGGGACTCACCTCAGCACCACCTGGGGACTCACCTCAGCACCACCTGGGGACTCACCTCAGCACGGTGCCGTCCTTGTACCAGGTGACGGTGTCGACGGGTTCACCTGAGACGTGGCACCTCAGCTCCAGCCTCCCCCCCGCGTCCACCTGCACCTCCCTCGGCGTCACCTGCAACACGTGCAACACCTGCATCAACACCTGCATCAACACCTGCAGCAACACCTGCATCAACACCTGCAGCAACACCTGCTTCAACACCTGCATCAACACCTGCTGCAACACCTGCAACAACACCTGCTGCAACACCTGCATCAACACGTGCATCAACACCTGCATCAACACCTGCATCAACACCTGCATCAACACCTGCATCAACACCTGCTTCAACACCTGCATCAACACCTGCATCAACACCTGCATCAACCCCTGCATCAATACCTGCATCAACACCTGCATCAACCCCTGCATCAACACCTGCATCAACCCCTGCATCAACACCTGCATCAACCCCTGCATCAACCCCTGCATCAACCCCTGCATCAACCCCTGCATCAACACCTGCATCAACACCTGCTGCAACACCTGCATCAACACCTGCATCAACACCTGCATCAACCCCTGCATCAACACCTGCAGCAACACCTGCATCAACACCTGTATCAACCCCTGCATCAACCCCTGCATCAACACCTGCATCAACACCTGCATCAACACCTGCAACAACACCTGCATCAACACCTACATCAACACCTGCATCAACACCTGCATCAACACCTGCATCAACACCTGCATCAACACCTGCATCAACACCTGCATCAACACCTGCATCAACACCTGCAACAACACCTGCATCAACACCTACATCAACACCTGCATCAACACTTGCATTAACACCTGCATCAACACCTGCAACAACACCTACATCAACACCTGCAACACTTACATCAACACTTGCATTAACACCTGCATCAACACCTGCATCAATACCTGCAACACCTGGATCAACACCTGCAACACGTGCAACACGTGCAACACCTGTTTCATCATCTGTCACCCATGTACACATACAGGTAAGGGCTGAGGTATACTGAACCCTGTAACTGTCATATAAGTACTATAACACTTGATATATTGGACTTGTACCCATGATTGACCATGTAATATATCAATTATACAACGTATATGACGTAACTATATAACCTGAGCTTGTAAAAGCATCGTAATCACCTTCAGTGGTTGAGTGCTTAATAACACATTAGTTTCTATATCAGCTATCTTACCCTCTCAGAGTACGAAAGCCATAAATGTATGTGTATGTATGTATGTGTGTGTGTATATGTGTATGTATGTATATATGAATATGTGTGCGTATTTATGCATATGTATGTGTATAAAGTATATGTGGAAGCTGATCAGAATTATATTTCACCTTTGTAAATGCACATTAATGACAATGTAAAAGACACATCGAACACTTTATGTAGGACATACGTAAATCTGTGTATCTATGTAGTTATATCTGCAGGTTAACTTAGCATTTTAAAAGCACTACAATCACCTTATGTGGTTGATTGTTCAATAAATCCCTGAACTATATGTTTAACAGATCTCTCACCCTGTCCATGGAGGACATTAGAAAATGTATATGTGCTGGTTAGCATTGTAAATCTCTGGCCACGTCTGTGGTAGAAAATAATAATAAAGAAAAGGTAAACAATACATGAAAGTAAGCATTACAGAGAGAGGGACTCACCTGGTCAGAGAGGGACTCACCTAGACGGTGAGGGACTCACCTAGACAGAGAGGGACTCACCTGGACATAGAGGGACTCACCTAGACAGTGAGGGACTCACCTGGTCAGAGAGGGACTCACCTAGACAGAGAGGGACTCACCTGGACATAGAGGGACTCACCTAGACAGTGAGGGACTCACCTGGTACAGAGAGGGACTCACCTAGACAGAGAGGGACTCACCTGGACAGAGAGGGACTCACCTGGACAGAGAGGGACTCACCTAGACAGAGAGGGGGACTCACCTAGACAGAGAGGGGGACTCACCTAGACAGAGAGGGGGACTCACCTAGACAGAGAGGGGGACTCACCTAGACAGAGAGGGGGACTCACCTAGACAGAGAGGGGGACTCACCTAGACAGAGAGGGGGACTCACCTAGACAGAGAGGGGGACTCACCTAGACAGAGAGGGGGAATCACCTAGACAGAGAGGGGGACTCACCTAGACAGAGAGGGGGACTCACCTAGACAGTGAGGGACTCACCTGGACAGAGCTTGACTCACCTGGACAGAGCTTGACTCACCTGGACAGAGCTTGACTCACCTGGACAGAGACGGGCAAGGTGACCAACAGGTGGGCGGAGTACCGGGTCTCACCAGCGGTGTTGTTGGCCACACAGGTGTACTGGGCGGTGTCCTCCACCCCCACCCGCCCCAGTACCAGCGACCCCCCCACCATCCACACCCCGCTGCTGCCCCCCACGGGTCTCGAACCCCGGTACCACCTGTAGGGGAGAGGGGAGAGAGAGAGATATACCTCTGAGTCTTATTGTGATATTACGCTAATATGCCCAATCGTTTCTCCTGCGAGAAGTTTGCGCACATTTTGCGTATACGTAATTTTATACCAAATACGTATCAATTGTTTACGGAGTGACATCCATTATGTCATTCCGTCTGTATTACGGGCTATTCGTGCCCGTGCCACCTCTTGGCTGGCTTAATCTTCATCAATCACCATCTGTCCTCTTTCATCCAGGTGAAAATTTACGTATCCTACTCAAATCTCCTAAAAATGGATAAAAATGGATCTAAATTATACATCCCCCATAGTACAGTCATGGTAATTTATAGTCATAATGTATAGTCATGTAATTTGAACATTAGCAGTGATTTGTATAATTTATATCCATTTCTGATTGATCAGTTAAAGGGCGATTTGAGTAGGATCACTGATACACATTTGTCTAACTAATTCACTGTTAATATCTACTATCTTATGCTATTACTATCCATGTATGGGCCTATTGGCCCATAGGGCCTATTGGCCCATAGGATGCAGCTCTTATTATATATCCACATAATCCCATTCATATATTTATCATTGTACCTCGCTTCACCTCTCTCTCCTGCTTAATATGTTCAAACTTACTGACTTATTAATCATTCATTCTGAAGATGCATTATTAAATACGAAAGTACTTTAGGAAATTCCTGTTTCAATTCTTCCTTCGTGGTCTGACACTGTCATATTAATATATATATATATATATATATATATATATATATATATATATATATATATATATATATATATATATATATATATTTATATTATATATATTGTATCTATTTAAATGCATATTTAAAATATTTGGAGTTAGAAAGAACAATGCTGGCCACCTCCATCCCCCAGGGAGAGTGGAAGAGTGCAACGATGCAAGAAAAAGTCTGCATAGTCTCTGTAAACGAGAGAGAGAGAGAGAGAGAGAGAGAGAGAGAGAGAGAGAGAGAGAGAGAGAGAGAGAGAGAGAGAGAGAGAGAGAGAGAGCAGGCGAGAGGGAGGTTAAAAGTAAGGCGATAGGGAGAAGGGGAGAGCGACCGAGGGGAGGAGAGCAAGGGGTAATAAAATCCCAAAAAGAAATGTGGTGAGTGAGGAGGGGAAAGAGGGGGAAACTCGGAAGAGAAGAGAGTGAGAGAGAGAGAGGGATTCTTGGGTGAGAGGTGAGAGGAGACCAGACGGTAAAAAAAAGGCCGAGCAGAAGGAGTTTTAGAAGGGAGAGGGACAGACCCTTATGTGGGAGAGTAAGAGGGACAGACCCTTATGTGGGAGAGTAAGAGGGACTGACCCTTACGTGGGAGAGTAAGAGGGACAGACCCTTAAGTGTGAGAGTAAGAGAGACAGACCCTTACGTGGGAGAGTAAGAGGGACAGACCCTTAAGTGTGAGAGTAAGAGGGACAGACCCTTACGTGGGAGAGTAAGAGGGACAGACCCTTACGTGGGAGAGTAAGAGGGACAGACCCTTACGTGGGAGAGTAAGAGGGACAGACCCTTACGTGGGAGAGTAAGAGGGACAGACCCTTATGTGTGAGAGTGAGAGAGAGAAGCTTCGTATGAGAAAGGAGGAAGAGAAGATGAGAGCAGCAACAGCAACTTTAGATGCGAGAGGAGATAGATGAGAAGTAATAGAAACGGATGAGAGGGGTATTAAGATAACAAAAAAGAGAGAGAGAGAGAGAGAGAGAGAGAGAGAGAGAGAGAGAGAGAGAGAGAGAGAGAGAGAGAGAGAGAGAGAGAGAGAGAGAGAGAGAGAGAGAGAGAGAGGAAAACCGCCCACCGTCATCTGAGAGGCTAAGCGTCCTCATCTCAGAGTGTGGAACCTGAGATGCTTGCCAGGCTAGGCCAGTGGACCCAGTAAGGTGATTCCTCTCTTCCGGCCCTAACCAGGTCATCAATTACCAGGTTACCGCTAGACAACCAGAGCTTTACACCCGCTGGAAGACGAGCACGATACTAGCCTTGAGGAACTAGCAAAGGTACAGGCCCCTAGCCTTGGGGAACTAGCAAAGGTACAGGCTCCTAGCCTTGAGGAACTAGCAAAGGTACAGCCTTGGAGAACTAGCAAGGTACAGGCCTCCATAGCCTGGCAACTAGAAAGGTACAAGGCCCCTAGCCTTGCAAACTAGCAAAGGTACAGGCCCCTAGCCTTGGCAAACTACAGGTACAGGCCCCTAGCCTTGGGGAACTAGCAAAGGTTACAGGCCCCCCTAGCCTTGGGGAACAAGCAATAACTCCGATCCTAGCCAGGGGAGGGGGAGAGAATAGTAGGGGGCAAGAGAAGGGGAGAGGGGGAGGAAGAGAAGGAGAGTTGGGGAAGAACAATGGGGGGTAAATACGGTCCACAAGTATGGGGGATCATACTGACCTTACAAAATAGGGGTTGACATTGAGCCACGCAAGACAGTACCATTAGTGTACACAATGTGGGGGGTAGTACTCACGTATAGTAGGGGGGAGGGTGGCCCTGGGCCACAGGGGAGGGGTAGTACTCACGTATAGTGTGGGGGAGGGTGGCCCTGTGCCACACAGGGGAGAGTCACTCTGGCACCGGCTGGGGCCACCACACGACCTGCTCGCTCGCTCATCCTCGGTGGCACCGACCCTTGTGCCTCTGGAACACACAATAACAACATTGGCGACTCAGCAAGCCTTCGTCAGGCGTATCAATAGTGACCTATGCTGACCTGTACTGACCAGTTTCCCAGCTATGTGATGATGACCTATGATGTTCCCCCGCCTCACCACTCTCACCATGGGTATGACAAGGGGGGTGGGGGGATCAACAGAGAGAAGGGGAGACTAATGAAACCATTTCCACCACTACAATAACCGCCCCCTTCACCTGCCTAGCAATTAATTAAAAAAGAGCAATATCGAACACTCTACAGCCTTGATTACATGTAAATTTAAAATATAACCGGATCAAATATTGAATTTGTGATAAATAATTCATATATTTATATATACAAGAGAAATATATTCAACTCTAACTTATTTACAATGCATCATTTGTATGAGGCATTGACATGTATACTCTTATACTCTGTGTATTGTATGAGGCAGGAACACTAACACACTAAATATATATGAGGGGGAGAGAGAGAGAGAGAGAGAGAGAGAGAGAGAGAGAGAGAGAGAGAGAGAGAGAGAGAGAGAGAGAGAGAGAGAGAGAGAGAGAGAGAGAGAGAGATATAAAGTGTTCACTCATTCAAAGATGTGTAGCATTAATACACTTAATCTTATCAAGTTTCACAAGCTACCACTGTATACACAGGTTCCCCCAGTATACACCGATGCCTCAACTATACGACAGTTTTCCAAGCATACAGTGATCCCTGCGTTATACACAAGTATACTCTAGCTCTTCTAATACACACAGATTCCTCAAGAGTACCTTACTTCATGATATTTTACGCTCACGTAAATACAACATACTGAATAGCGTCAACTTGCGAAATGGTACAGGGTGTGCACTATGGTACAGGGTGTGCACTATGGTACAGGGTGTGCAATATGGTACAGGGTGTGCACTATGGTACAGGGTGTGCAATATGGTACAGGGTGTGCACTATGGTACAAGGTGTGCAATATGGTACAGGGTGTGCACTATGGTACAGGGTGTGCAATATGGTACAGGGTGTGCACTATGGTACAGGGTGTGCAATATGGTACAGGGTGTACACTATGGTACAAGGTGTGCAATATGGTACAGGGTGTGCAATATGGTACAGGTGTGCATATGGTAGGGTGTGCAGGGTGTGCACTATGGTACAAGGTGTGCAATATGGTACAGGGTGTGCACTATGGTACAGGGTGTGCACTATGGTACAGGGTGTGCACTATGGTACAGGGTGTGCCATATGGTACAGGGTGTGCAATATGGTACAGGGTGTGCAATATGGTACAGGGTGTGCCATATGGTACAGGGTGTGCCATATGGTACAGGGTGTGCCATATGGTACAGGGTATGCAAAATGACAAGATGTGCAAAATGCCACAGAATGCGCAAAAAAGGCACCAAATGCACAAAAGATACTGAATGCACAAAAAGGCTACAGAATACACAAAACTTAAAGTAGAATACAGACTCCTAAATTACATAAAAGCCAAGAGTGGCAGCGTCTCTCTATAGGCATAAAAAAACGCTCTAAAACATTTAATTGCGTAAATGTGTGAAATAGTTACTAAATAGTTCACGTAGGCCAATTACCCAAACAAATCAAATTACTAACCAATTCAGCAAAGTCTATGTTCATTACACGTATTAAACTAAAAAATATCGTGAATAATTTTTTAAATTCATCGAATGTTATTCATATATTTGTGTCACAATTGTTTTCAGATTTTTTTTTATTACTTGTAAAACCGCTTTACAAATTCATGTTAAATGTTTATTTAGATATTTATATTTTTTTATGTTTTTAAAAAAAAGGCAGATAAATTTTGATATATCTTGTGTGGTTGGGCATTAACCTCGAGAGAGAGAGAGAGAGAGAGAGAGAGAGAGAGAGAGAGAGAGAGAGAGAGAGAGAGAGAGAGAGAGAGAGAGAGAGAGAGAGAGAGAGAGAGACTTCTTGACATTATTATAAATGAATATGTGCATGTATATGCAAGCGTATATGACTATGTATGTCTGTGCATATGTATACGAGAAGGTTGCTGGTTGAGTACTTAAGATGCTGCAGGAAAATAACCATGTAGTTATAAAAAATTAAATAATAATGCATCTTAATTACATAACGAACGTTCGAATGTAATCAACATATCTGAGGAAGGATGATAAATAATTAAGACTTCATTAAGTCTCGGTGGATCAGGTCGAGACACGTCCTCATCTTGACCTTCCGTGACCTCCTCAGACTTCCTTTAACCTGATAGGTAATATCATGACATCTTTAGGAAGATTCTGATCGCTTTAATCATCTCTGATCGTACTTGATCCC